TCAAGCTCGGATGTGACTCCGAGAATATCCGCAGAGACTGCTCGTGTGGGAACAGAGGCTGCTCCACCTCCCTCAAACCTACAATATCAACAGGCTGCTTCTAGACCTGAGCCCATACCTCAGGTCAACACTTCCAAGCACGATATCACTACAGCACATTTGCCCTCCAAACCCGACGAGCCAAAGTTCGTTCAACCTCATTCACGGGACCAACATATGAACAAAGAACCAGCACTACACAAGGCTGATAATCGCTCTGCGGTTTATGCAAACTCGAGTATTCAAAATCAACACAGCAACAATAATACCAAACCAATTTCGCATATACCTCAACCGGCACCTGCCAAGCCAGCTACCCCAGCCGCAGAAGACAAATGGGCAAAGAAACCAGTAGTAGACTATTCTGGTGGAGATTGGGGAGATGACGATGACTGGGACTACTGATATCTCAATTGTATACATGGCTTCACATTTCTTAGCGATCATATGGCGGAGTTCACTATCTATTGGCAAGAGTTTGAGATTGTATAAGAGCAGGGAATTGAATCGGGGAAATCTCGATAGAAAACTTGGCAATCAACAATCAAGAGTCGGTAGTTGGCTGTCCTCTCTGACGGTCATACTCGAAATTGTTTGCTGTTGTTTGACTTCCATTCCATGACTGCTTCTGTCCTTACAGTAGCACGCTCGAAACAGTCAGCGCAATATTCTCCACCTCGCTCTGAGAAGTGTTTTGAACGACACAACGAAAGGTTTGTTTGTTCTGAGAGAGATGAGTCACCAACCCAGCAGTCGAAAGATCCCCCCATATGTAATTTAACGATGAACACAAACAACACCTGAAGGCAACGTTAAGTTTCTTGACTGTTTCTAGGTATATAAGTATAGCTTTAGGACAAAAAGTGTCAGTGTGGCATCACTCCAGAATTCGAGCAAGACTCTGTACTGGATCTAAGATATCTTCGTTCGGGGCAACCTCACACATCTAGGTATGGACAGTATCGAATTTAGGGCGTCAAGGGAGGCATAATGAGGTGCACCGGAGAAGTTTGGAGCAGCAGAGTTTGGTATGAGGCCAGCAGTGATCTGGCACTGCATGGCACTTCGAGCTTAGGATTATAGCTAACTCCTTATTATTGTTTTCACTACTGCGCTGTTACATTCCTGCCTCAGAAAGTTTTCTTTATTACGAAACATTTCCTTCTCGCCTCTCGCACAAGTCAGGGGATGATACTCAGTCATCAGTATTTTGTTTAAGCTGGTCTGTGACAATGCTATCAAACACCGAAACCAACAGTTCTTCAGCGCCTGAGACCATAACACCAAACCAATTTGCTAGCATCTGATGAGGCTAACTGCCATTTAAACTTTTTTTGTTTCCTACCTTTGCTTCTGTTACTCCGCAAATTTTCAATGACACCTCACAAATCTTCGTGAGAACAAACATGCCTCCTTTCTTATACCTTTCGCGCCCCGCGCCCACTGCCCTCTATTTCTCTCTCTCTCTCTCTCTCTCTTGAGTCATTGGTTCTTGAATTTCTCACAAGAGAACACGGGCCGCTTATCCAGAGCATTATATATATATATATATATGTGTGTGTGTGTGTGTGGAGTTCTCAGGGCACGATATCAAGCCGGATTTTAGCTGCTGACTCCGATATATTGGGCGCCTCTCTTCCTCGATGCCAAAAAACGAATCCGTACGTCTTTCTTATTCATGCCCGTCTCTCAACTCGGACATCTCCGTTGCCCCCGATGTCACATGTGCTGACAACATGCAAGAATTAGAGAACAACTGCCTACATCTGGAGTCGAGTCTTAGAAAGGATCCTGCCTATCACTCTTAGAAGTGCAAGATCTTCCAGCTGCAAAGACCTTCAAGCGCTAGTCACCCCCTTCTCCCTTCGTCACACATCCCATTCACACTGTTGATTCAAAATTTCCATCAACCTTCATGTCTTTGAGAACCACAGCGACCCTCTTCTTCTTATCATCTGCTCAACGTCAGGATATTGCCCTTCACCCCACTGGCTGGGGTAATGCTACTCGTCAAGGTAGACCAAGACAGTCCCTTCGACTACCAGTTGCCTAAACCTTCTTCTGAGCAGTTAAAGAGGATCATTCACAAGCTCTTTGACCACCCAAACGCGTTCGCCCTCCATGACTGTCAGCGCGCCTCCGCAGAATGCATGTGAAACTACAGACAGAATGCTAGGAGCACTGGAAACTGTCACACCCCGAACGCAGCTCAAGCTTCGCCCCTTTTTTCTTTCTTTCGGAGATTTGCAGCTGGTCTGCGAAAGGGTTCTCTTACGGGCAGAGACACTAACCAGAGAACAATTCAGCACCGAATCATTGTTCATCTTGCCATGCGCTGAAAATCTCATAAATTCCCGGCAAACGCCTAGGCTCTGGAGAAGGATATTAGCGAAGCATTCATATGTTTGCTAGACAACTACATAACCAATTTCCGTCGCCAAAGTGGTTCCAAAAATATGGCAGCTTTATCGACAAACTTTCCACCAGAGCTGCGTGAAATGGTTGTCGAGCTGCTAGACGCAAGCAGTCTTGATGCGCTGACGAGAAGGTCCAAACAATGCAGACAACTTTTTGGCCCTCGATTATTTTGCCACATTGCATTCAGAGGCTCTGACAAAGCCGTAGCACAAGGCCTCAAGACACTCTTTCGACCGTCGGTTCATATTTTGTCACGACCTCTATGACAAGTCCGGTATGTCCATATCGCTGCAAAGGGGTCATAATGGGATTCTGACGTGTAAAGTCAAGCTGCATTCTTCTTTTTGGGAGGACGACCACTATAGTCCGATCAACATAGCTATCGGCAAGCATAAGATTATTCTTCTTGTTCCCTAGCGATGAGCTGCCGACACTCTTCCGTCAAGCACTTCAGGAGAAGCCACTTGTATCATCTCTGCCTATGTCGAACTGGCATCCGTCACCTTGCCCGGAAGACTGTCGCGAGGCCTTCGCTGTTTGACAGCCGAAGGAGCCATCTAAATAAGCAGAAAGCCAACGTAGGAGAGTCTACGTGTGGCCTGGGACATCTCATCACGCGATAGTGACGAAGAGAACTTTTAACCCATAATTCGCGACATATGCGCCCCAGAATCACTGGAGTCACTGCACACCTATGAAGATATCGGGCCAATCTTCATGAGTCACATCCGAACCGTAAGACTTCGGAATCTCAAGGGTCTTTTTACCGTTCTCAAAGAAGACAGCTCAGACTGGATGAAAATACCAGCCAGACCCATGAATGAGCTTATCGCCCGCAAATGCCGGGGGCTTGAATGGCTGGTCCAGGCCACAAACACACTCTATATGAAGACATCTGCACCAGATGAGTCTTTGATGCTACATCCAGTCTCGCTTGCAGACCTTGGTACTGTAAGTTTCTGATTGATGAGGGAAGAATTTGATTCATGGCTGACCATTGTTGTTTCTAGGACGTGTACCTCGAGGCTATGGTCGTCGTGCTAAAGAAGGACTTCGAACGCCTAACACACTTAGCTATCGCTCTTCGCCAGGGCACACTGATCAACGGGATCAAATTTCAAGGTCTTTCGTGTTCAGGGGCGGACATGTAGATACATGAATGGTACATTCGTGTGCTATTCTATCACCAATTCCATGGGAGGGCGTGCCCCAGTGAATGCAGACCCTAGAGTACAACAGCCCATGATCCTCCCCGAGCAGGCACACCCTCCGCAGCAACAATCCATTCCTACCGAAAATTCGCTGCAGCAAGGGGCATATGTGGCAGGTCAGAGCCGTACACCAATCTGTGAACACGAAAAATTCATCAACTTCGATATGGGACAAGGCATGAATTGAGCAGCATCCGGCACATCTCTAATATGGCATAGCCCAACAAGGAGTGAGGTCAAAGCTGAAGGCATCTTGAATGTATGCCTTGATTCCAACCACCACCCCCCTTTGCTGCAGATCACTATGTCTCAAGTTGTACTTGACTTCATTGCCGATGGCATCAGAAATGACGGGAGGCTTAACCGGCCGGGAGTAGCCATTTCTGCGGCGATAAATGAAGATCTGCCAGCCCCCCCGGAGCATTTTGACATCAATGTCGGTTATCAGAAAAGGACTCTGAATTAATTTGGTTTGGCTTTCTTTTGAACTTGGGAAACGGAGTCGATTATATCAAGGCATGAAGTTGTGGGGGTTGTGTTACAGGGTTAGGGGTCCTGGGGTTGATGGTGACTTACTGCATCATCCCAAGCAATGGGCACATCATAGAAAAAGGATGAACCCTCTGAGGACGACAGAGTCTCGGCTATAATTAGCCATTCAAGTTGGGGGAAAGTGTTGCCGATACATCTGCTAGCATCCTCTTCGACAAGACGAGGATAGTCCTCAAGGGGATCATTGAGAAAGAACCGGAGTCTTTTCAGCTGGGGACATCCCGATTTGACAACATCGAACGCGCGAGATGTGAGGCTGCCACATAGCTGAATCACATTGAGGTTTTTGATAGCACATTTGATGAAGGGAAACGAAATGGCTGGACCTGAGCTATCATCTGAGCACTGGATCTCAATCCGACTCTCATTTTGGCAGGAAGTTGCAAAGCTGACGACTCATGTCCCAGAGACTCACGGCTTTGTTGTAAGTGTAAAGATGTGAGCTATTGAACGTGCTTAGTCGCATTGGTGACAGGCATTTGGGCCAGCTTAAAGCCGAAAAGATCAAGTACCAGAACAGGGATTGGGCAAGCGATCATAACATCTATACAGTTGGCATAAATATATATATCTTGCCATAAATCGTACGAAACAAATAGTGCTGACATTGACGGAACAGTACCATCCTTTGTACAAGCGATCTTAAGACCTTGTTCACAAGCAGACTGCCTCTATAACATAGGTCTATTCGTTTCATCGTATGAGGCGCAAAGGGCTATATAGTCGCTGTAGCCCGCAATCTGAAAGCCATCTGTCACTCGGCAAGATTCCTTTCTATGTCTAATCATCAAGCCCATCCGAGTAGTAGTCAAACTGTTTTGGCACTGGTGCATCTTGTCCACCAGGTCCATCTGGGTCAACGTCTTCGTTCTTTGCTTTTGGACCACTTTCTACCGCCACCGGCTGTACTGGTTGTGTAGCCTGTGCAGGTGCCGACAATAAATGCCCTCTCAACAATTTGGTCATCTCCCTGGCCCACTCCCATGGTCGTTCTTTTCCTCCAGGCAAACTGTTGAAGTACTCCCAGCCCATGATTCCTCCAAACGCTCCATATCGGCCCCGCAGCGTGGTGAGCACCATATTGAGAGGGTTCATCGGCACATAGCCGCTTCCATTCTCAGGATTGGTGACAAGTCCGATGACGATCTTCTCGGGTGGCCAGCCCTTGCGGACCATGAGATCGTACATAAGGGGGTTACTACAATCTCCCCAGCCGCAGTAGAATTGTGTGTTGTACCATGCGATATCACGGCCGCGCATCACCTCGAGAGCCTCGTAGTCAAAACCGCTGAGATTCTTGGTGAAGTCAAGAAGAGACATGGCGACTGGTGCTAGGGTGATGATGAAAGTAGGCCCAAAATCGCTGCGTAGACGGTCTATCAGCCGCACAATTCCTCCCAGAGTCATTTCCTCTTCAACGTCCAGATCCAGGCCGTCCAGGCCGCGCTCTCGAATCATGTCTTTGACGGGGCCGTAGTACCGATCAAACGTCTCTTGGTCGGCATCCAGTCGTGCATAGCTGCCCTTACAAGCACCGCCTAGCATGCCCATCACCCTAACACCCGAGGCTTGTAGCACGCGCAGCTCAGCCCACATAGTCTGGAAAATGGGGTGAGACGGGTGGTAGTCATTGAGCGTAATCTTTTGAGGATCATCGTTGATATGAATGGCGGCAACAATGACGTGGGTTATGGCGATACCGGGTTGTGTGATGAGAGAGAGGGGAGAGATGAGATTCCCCGAGGAGTCATGATGAGTTTGGTAATATGTGATCAGCCGCGGTAAAGAGTTGGCGGAAGGGGGAAGAGGGGGCATCGTGCATTTGCTTGTGAGGTTGCTGATGATGAGGATGAGCTGGCATTCTTGGAGCTTGTTGAAGTTGTAAGCAGCCCCGGAGCTTAGGTGGAGCTCTGCCGCTGAAGGTCTCGGCTCCAGCGGCTAGACAGCCACTAGGTGTGGTAGCTACAGGGTCTAGTCTTGTCTACCTAGCTGAAGATCATATGTCTATCCAACAAACTTGATGTAAGATTACTGCTATGAATTAACTAACATTGGGTATCTCTATTCTCAAATTAAAAATTCTGAACTCGAGCCTGTTCCTTTTCCAAATCCTGCACCCTGACCTTCTTGCCGACACATCTCCCGGGATGCCAAATAGCAAAGAGTAAGACAGCCAATGCCACCGGAGCGAACTCCAGACAAGCAAAGAAGATCTCGTTCGAATATAAATGTCCCCCAAGGCCTTCGGCTGTTTCTGCCAGACGGAAGCAGGTTCGAAGATAAATCATAAGGGTAGCCACCCCGAAAGCAACACAGAACAAACTGAGCTTCTTGCCGCGTGAAGTAACCTCCCTTCGAGCACGGAAAAGGAATGAAGCCGTGAGGATAACGAACACACCGAGGGAGAAAACCTGGTATGCCAACCCTCCAAGAAGAATGTTATTGGCGTCCGTTGGATCATCGCGGTTCGACTGTCTTACACCAATCAGAGCAGCACCAGTGATCTGCACAACTGTAGCAATAACATCGGAAGTAATGAAGAACCAAAGAATAAACTTTGGTGGCAGGAACGAATATCGTCTTCCGAGTCGAGGAATCAGCGCAGAAAGGATAGTGTACACGCCAGCGGCAAGAAACACAGGCGCCGTAACGATGAAGAAGTAGTTGAGAATGAAGTACAGCAGATGGTACGGATCCTTCTTGGCTGAGAGTGAACGAGCAACATAGCCCACGATCTCAAAGAGAAGACCGATTGGGAATGTGATAAAGTACCAGCTGCGAAAGCGGATTGTCTGTACCTGGTGGATGACGAGGAAGAGGGCGAACCAGGCTGCAGCGAAGACGGCGAGAGAGAATGCGGGCGTGTAACCGTAAATAATCACGGGCGTATCCCATCTGCCGTCAGGGTTGGGAAAGTTTGGGTCGACATAGCCATCAATTGGGCGTTTTCCTGAGGTTTGTCAGTCTTGAGGTACCCTATGTCCAGTACAATTGTGAACATACCAGAGCTGCTCATGATGAAGATGAGTGAAAGGTCAAAGCTAATACTTGATAATCACGAAATGTTCAGATTAACACAACATTCTTCGGCGGTTGACGTTGGATCTTTAAATCCTACGATAGGACCCTTCACTTTCAGCTTTGGTATAAGCTTCTTTAGTGTATGGAGAGCCGAGCGCTAAACCCCTGGTCCTGGCGCAAAGTCATGAATCATCATTCTGAAGCTATTCCCCAGAATGGAAATGGTGACCCTGGGCCACGCACCCGTCAAAGTCCCCAAGGGTCTCAATAATCGTTTACATTTGGCGAAAAACGGTCCCTGACGATTTGGTTTCCTTTTTGAGAAAGGGGATATGTCTAGAAGACTCTACGCTGTGGGAATGAAAGACGCATGTCTTGGACAGTGACATTCGGAGGGAAAGCCACTTGACAGTAACGAGATGACAATCTATGAGTAAACTGGCAGCTGTTACAGTGAAATGCTTAGACTTTTGGTTTGTTGAGGGAGAGATAAAAAGTCTGTCGCCTACTCGATGAAATAATTTTTACAAATTAAGTATCTTGCAATGTTGAAGGGTCCTCCAGATTTTGTTGAACCTCAAGGGAGCTTCACATGAAAAGCCTAGTAGCCTTCTGCACAGACACTAAGAAATTAATCAACCGTTGTCAATTCTTGGCGTTGTGTCATTGACATTAGACCCGTACCTGTCAAAGGCTGGGCTACTTAAGCGACCGTTGCCGAAAAGACGAATCACAAGCATTCCTTTAAGTGACAACTTCAAGTTTGTGGATGCTGAACAATGCTTTCTAACTGTGGGTTAAAGGCCCTCTATCACCCGAGAACCCAGTTGAATCTAATCTTCCCTGTGTCTATCCCGAATGCAACGCCAGTCTATGACCCTTTGACCAAATCGTCACCCATGACCTCCTCGAAAATACCCTTTCTAATCTTCTGTAACTCCGTCCGGGCTTTATCCATCTCTTCGCCCTTCCGCTTAAGCTCTTTACTCAAGTAATGCTTCCTTTCTTTGGCCCGACTTAAGCAGTTGTTTAAAGCTGCTGTGCATCGCGCTACCTCCTGTCTTCCACCTGTAATATCTACCTTTCCCCAGACATCGCCCAGGTTCGATGTGACCTCCATAGTGCGGGGATTGGCCTCGGGTGGCAGCTCAATCACATCCGCACCAAGCTGTACTAGCTGATCAACCGTTATCTTGCTCTGCTGAACAAGCTCTCTACCCTTATTCAGAGCTCGGAGATGATTCATGTCTCCCGATTGCAAAGCCTTGTCGACCTGTTGCAGTCCAGCTGTCATTGTCGCTGTCGCTTGCTCGAGCAGATCTAGTGCTTTTTGATGCAGCTCTAAGGTTGTCTTTGTAGCGACATAAGCAGATAGCGCATTATTACTCTGCTGTTCCTTTGCGTCCTCTTCAGGGAATTCTGGCGTTGGACCTGAAAAGATATCATCGTAGATATCGTCGAGCTGCTTCTGAAGATCAAGGTAACCCTGCATGCTCTGGTCGAGGTCATTCTTTTTCTGAAGTTCTTCATCCAGTTTAGCCCTGACACTCGAATTGTGCTCCGATGCCAGATGCGCCTGTTGAAGTGTGTTGTGGTAGTTTTGCTCCTCCCTCTCAGCCTGACCTGTAAATGAATTCTCTTTACCGCTGGCTTTGTAAAGAAACTTCATTACATGGCCATCGCGATATTTCTTATGCGACTCAAGGTCGGCTAAACGCTTGCGATCTAATCCATCGAGTTCTCGGTTGGATTCTGATAATTGTGACTCAAGGTCTGAAACGATCTTTTGTTGTAGAGCAAGATCAGTACGAATATGTTTTGTTTGTTCTAGCAGGTTTAGCAACTCAGCTGTCCTTGGAAAGGCTGCTTTTATTGCGTCTTTGATGTCCGGCATTTGGCTGTGAGAGCTGAATGGAGGTGGTGGGTTGGGTTCCATGACTGTAGCCATGATGGATTTGGAGAAGGCTTCTTGAAACGTGAATGCACTTGCAGGCTGAGACTCATCAGATGATAATGGAATCAGATGATGCCTAAATGAACCAACGAGGTTTTTATAGCGAGCGGGCACGAGATGCACTCGAGATACAAGTTGAAAGTATAAAAGGTTACTTGGATCCAAGTTACTTATATTTTGCTTTGAACGAGATAATTACAACAACCGCTCCAAGCAGAGGAAATAAGCCTTCATAAACCGCGCAGAATAAGGCAAGACATGAGTCGAACGCTGCAGGAGGATTCACTATCACGACCCAAAATATATGCAATAAAAAGGCAGAACTGTGAAGCCTGTTCGCCTCAGAATGCTACTGCAACCAATCATATTGCATCTTCTAGAAAAAAGGCACGCAAGAGAATTTTCGGGTCGCCTTAAGCAGCAAGAAAGCCAGCGATCAAAGCCAGGGATTATTCCATGCAGCTCTTTCATGTGCGGCATGACATCAGTGTACGATTATCGGGCGATTTAGGATGAACCAGGGTGTTGCATTCATGCCAAGCTACGCGGCTCTGGGGAGTTCTCCCGAACGACAGCCCTGAATCTCCTAAGGTGTACTAGACTACTATTTTGTTCCTCTTTCAATGCAGTCATGATATGATAATCTCCATTATCGGGGTATAATGCGCGGTGATAGCAGCTCTCGGATGAAACTGGAGAGTTGGCTTGGCGCTGGTCGGGCCAGGGACATTGTCGTCCTCACTCTCCTTCTCTGTCATCCATAGAGCGACCCTCGGGGGCAAGAAAACAGCGAACCTTAAGATACCGTGTCAAAATAAAGTCATTAAAAGCTCTCCTAATCTTAGGCTATATTACCTAAGTCTTTTTGTCATCTAGGATTAAGGTCCTGTGTTTTCTTTACCCCCCTAGAGCGACTGTACTCAAGCGAGGATCTTATGACCGTGTGAATCCATGTCGCTGATCTCGGCTCCTCTTAGCGTTGGAGACGAGCTGAGAGTGGTGTTGATGATAGAAGTTTCAAACTGGCCGGACCGGGTTGAAGATGCGGTTAGATATAATATGTTTTGCGATCGTTATGTTGGACATTATGTGAAATAAATGTTGTTTTCGCGGAACGCCAAAAGAAGTCGTAAGAAGTCGTTTTCGTCACACTTGGCTGATCGTGCTTCAGAGAGTTCAGTCTTCTCAAGGACATGCTCAATCTTGTTCCGGATGAAGGTTTTGAGAGTGGCCTTGCTAACTGGAATTCCACACACAGACTGGTGAGCATCTATTGTATCTTCGCTGTCACGGAAGAACTGCAAATCTTGCTCGCTGACTTTTTCAGGGCCCATAGCTGCCCAAGTGATCCAGTTTCGCTGGCAGAGCTCCTCCGAATCAATGAAGCTTGCTCGTAGAGTCTTGTTCTTTCTCGAGAAACAGATACGGAGCATGCCGTCCAGCTCCTGAATGTTGGCAGCAGGCACTTCTGGTCGTGGTTCAAGTCTCACGACAACGGATTCGACTTCGGGTGGCGGCGAGAAGTTGTTCTTACCGACCTTGGCGATCAGGGCGACTTTGGAGGTGAATTGTGTGTTGACCGAAAGACGAGAGTATAAGGAATCGCCAGGTCGAGCGCATAACCGCAGTCCAAATTCTCGCTGGACCATGAGAATGCTGACGCGAGGAGGTCGAGGCAGAGAGATGAGTTTGGAGATGATGATGGACGAAATCTGGTATGGGGTATTGCTAATGCAAACGTCGAACGGTGGGAGTGCTTCTGGGAGATCCAATTTGGCGAAATCGCCCATGATGATTTCCAACTTTTGCTGCTCGGGCTTGCCTTGGACTCTTTTTGTTAATTCGGCTCCCATGCGTATGTCGAGCTCTACGGCCTTGACCGCTTTGGCTTGTTCTAGAATGCGTGTGGTGAGGACGCCGGTTCCAGGACCGATCTCGAGGACGGTGTCGGTGGGCTTGAGGTTTGCCTTTGCGACAATCATATCGGCGATGCCAGGGTTCTTCAGAATGTGCTGGCCAATATTCGTGTTGTATTTGAATATGTTCTTGCGTTCAGGCTTATCGTATGGCCCCTTGCGGGCGCCACCGCGCCTGCTATCTGACGATTTCGGCATTGTGTTCTTGACTGTGAGTACGAGGACAGGATTTTCCTCTTTTTTTTTTCTGGTGGTGTACTGAAGCATCTCGTAGGGTGGGGCACCCCGCGATCATTTTTTAGTGGGTCATGATATGCGGAATAACCGCTACTCCGTATTCTATGCACATGGAGTTACCATATAAGTCTCTACATAGCGCCTTGTCTACTAATGTTGAAGAGACAAAGCATTGTAGAAAGCATTTGACTTACCTCTTGAATTTAATCTAGGTATATAGACAAGAACATCAAGTCTGGCTCTAATCACCTGTCTGGAATCACCCGCGGTTGAACAAGAACCTCGGAGCACAGGTATTATCGCTGCAATTAAGGACAATCCACATCCTTCTATGTCTGGCAAGCCGCTATAAACAATCAAAAGAATAAGTGATCGACAGTGACCTTCCTAGCTTGTACGGCTGCTGCTCGTTGGTAGGTCTTTGAGTCAAGATGCTTGTGATGACTTTTCCGTGATTTGCCGACACTTTGCCGCCAACGGAGCTTCCCTGCTTTGGTAGCTCCATCTTCAAACCTATAGTGCAACTTGTAGTATGAGGTAGAACCTCGCGTCGCCAATCATTTCTCAAAGGAAATGGCTTCACCGAGAGCCCGACTGCCTCGTGCAGGCAAACTCGGGGTTTTGATACCGAGATCGAAGCCTCACGGTGTCTTGATATGTCCATTTTGCAGCATTACATCACGGCCGCGAATACGACCTCGTCGCGCTATCCTCGGAAAACGTTTCTACACTGTGTCGACGAACCCTCGTGCCGAGCTTGAACAACATCTCCTCGATATTCAGAAACTCGCACCGTCTTTAGTGAATCTTTCAAGACTGCAATTGGCACTACAGGGACTGCGGCAAATACCTGGTCAGGAAACTGTGAGGGTTGCGATATTGGGACTGGCACCTGGTTCGAATGCGGGACAGACAGCGAAAAATGTCCTGAGGGTTTTAGTAACGGATCCGCTGCAGGATGAGCAAGAATGGGAGCGCCAATTGAAGGATCATGATCCAAAGAACCCCCTCGTTGTTCGAATCCGGCCCACTGCAGAGCAGCAGAGTACTCTAACAGTCACCAGAACGAGTCTTTTGAGTGAGGTCAACATATCCTCGGCGGAATGGAATACCCTCAACTTAGAGCTCCTGTTCATGGAGACGCATCTTCCCGAGTTCGCCAGAGATGAGCAAGCACGGGCTATCGAGGTCGAGGAAGCTGTGCTGGTGCCCAAGGTCGGCATTCCATCGGCTGAAGATCGAGTAACACCAGTCACTACACCTGTGCACAGGGCGATTCTTGTCGGTGATGGGTTTGAAGGGGCTGTCAATGTCACATCGGTACCGGTTGCCAAGGAAGAGGAGTCTGTGCTAAAAGTGGTTGATTTGAGAGGAGTTGACTCGAAGCAACTTGATGCACCCTTTGCGCTTGTTGATACGTCACTTGCCGAGAGAGGAGTGTCACTCTTTCGTCAAAGTTCCAGCAATGCCATTGAGTATGAGCGGCTTTGGTTCAACAGTAACTTCCCTGCCTTAACAACATGGCTTAAGTCAGGAATCAGTTCCCACGATGGCACCACGAAACCCGCAGTGCGAGGGCTCATTACTTCTTTGTTAAATAACATTTTGGCGCGATGCGAGGAGGAAAACCGTCGTGAGATCAGGGAGAATTACCAGGCTGCCCCCACTCTCAAAGGTCAGGAGCCAGACTTCTCGCCTGTACTGGTTCAAGCAGCTGGTGCATGGTCACAGCAAGCTCACGCAGAGCTACAAGATGAGCTTGACTTGGCGTTCACAGGCCGAAGATGGCGAAAGCTAGGATGGTGGCAACTATTCTGGAGGGTCGATGATGTTGCCATGCTCACAAATGATATGCTCAACCAGCGGTTCCTACCAACAGCAGAGCGAGAGCTTGTTTATCTAACCGGAAAGATCGCGCAAGCTGCAAATGCGGACCAAAACTATCCTCAACCACACTCTGTGAAAGATAGCGACACAAATCGTGAGCTGAGGCGACTTGGCCCAGGAGAGTTGGAACCATTGGCACCAGTGAACAATCGATCAGCACTACCAAAATGGCCTGGCCATATTGCCTTCACCCGAAGGTATCTCCAAAACGAGACTGTCCCTGCGCTACAAGCTCTCGCGCAACGCTTGGTTGTACAGTCGTTAGGGACTTCTGGACTTACAACATCCCTTGCCGCCCTTCTATATATTTCCTCCTTCTCCTCGACAGTCTACGAAGCCGGTGCTGTAGCAGCACTAGGTATAGTCTGGAGTTGCAGCCGGTTACAGAAGAAGTGGGAGGCAGCGCGAGCATTCTGGGAGGGCGAAGTGCGAGAAGAAGGCCGCAAGGCTCTCCGAGGCGTCGAAGACAGTGTTGCAGAGGTTCTCAGCCACGAGAAGCAGCAGGAAAAGCCAGTTGTAGACCAAAAAGGTGATGAGATTAACGAGGTTCGCGAGCTGGTGGTCAAGGCCCAGGAAGCTCTTGGACGAATGAAGTAAAAGGGACCCCTGTACAATATGGACTGAAAAGCATTGGACTTAGAAGGTGATGAGATACCAGGCGTAAGAGACGCCTTCATTTTTGTAATCTAGTCAATCTCAAAAAACCACCCTCTACTGTGAGGTCTTGCAAGCCTCACAAGCCATATCCCCCTTCTAGACTGGTATCAACCTAAGCCTGTTCCACTCATTTTCCGAAAATCGAGGCATGCCCATTGTAAAAATCCAAGCCCGAACGCCAAAAACTCGCATATCTCTATTATGTCTTGTTTATCGTCCTCCTCGTCCGCCTGCGCGCGCTCGGCTGACAGTTGCACGACCTCTGGCAAGACCGACACCACGGCCACGTACGTTACGGCTGCGGAACATAGGGGCGTTGCGAAGCATGTCGGGAACGATGAAGAAGCGCACGTGTGAGCCACGGATGTAAACTTGGTCGAGATGAGAAACGCGGCCGTCGCGAGCGGTGACGGTGATGTCCTTCAGTTGAACGTTCATGTTGTCCTCAGCTGCGATGTGTTAGCAGAAATCCAAGCATTAAAGGCACTCGAAAAGAAAGGATAGCGAGAGGGGAGGCGTACCGTCGAGAAGCTTGCCACGGTAAGTCTGGCCGGAAGTGATTTCGAGTGTCACAATATGGCCCTACAAGGTACAGTTAGCTTCATAGCTCAATCAGGAGTGCCATATGTAAGGGATACGGACCTGCGCCTCATTCAGCAGCTTAATGGGAATACCGATTGTAGAAGTCATGGTTGCGGTTGTGTCTGATTTTCGTGTTGTCGCGTGTACACAAGGCCGAGGCTGAGCTGGAGCTTGGTATATCGTGAAAATTGGCGAGGCTTGGTGGTGAGGGACGTTGGAGAGGTGGAGAAGAGTTGATCCGAGCCGCGAGAGTTTGGGTTGACACTGTGCAGCACGCGCACACGACAGGGAAAGCACAGTGCCTGGATTTCACATTCTCGGAGAGTCTTATATGCTTCCCGTACAATTGCGATTCGATATTGTCATTGATGAAATATACTATTTCAAACAATCAACGCCATAAACGTAAAATGCCGTCCAGATAACATAAGAATGCCACGCGGGATTATAGAGTGTCTAACCACTTGTTCACTTTCGCCTTATTGCTGACTTGCTTTCTCTTATCCACATCCAGCTTCTTTCCATGCTTCTTCTTCTCCTTCTGTTTCTTCGATGTCGTTGATTTCCGCTTCAGTGCATTGGAGTTCGATATCACTACGACAGTTTCTGTAGTGTCTGCTTCTGGTTGCAGCGCTCCACTCATCAGCATGCTATCCTCGGTTGTCTTTGTTGAAACGACAAGCTGATCATTTTGCTGGCCATACACTTCTTGTGTAGAGACCGGAGGATCACTGGCTGTTGGCGTTGTCACGGTAGAGCAAGTTGATAGCTCCGGAGCTTGACTGGACCCTTGACTGGTCGCCTCATCGACACTCATGGATTGGTAATGAATGTATCCGCCTTGAACATTCGGCACAATCGAATTTCTCCCAGTTGGTGGTATTGATGAGATGTCCTCGAATGAGATATATCGAGCTCGGTAGTAGTACAGTCCCGAGTTGTGGAGAGCCCATTCCGACCACCGAGATCGCGGGTGCAATGGCTCAATGGCCTTCGATGCAGGAGTTGAAGGTTGGGGCTCATGCGCAGTGTGTCTTTTGTTCACCATATTCGTGATGCGGCAGTCGCTTAGCACTCCAGAACGGAAATAAGTGCACGAGAACACGGGTGCGTCGAAGAGATATAATCCAGGGATATCCCTCCAAGCAAAGGGCAGCTGCGCCGGGTCGCAAACTCGAGGTTCGCAGATAATCCTAACGCATTTCCTCACCCGACAGCCTCACTCTTCTCGCTGGGTGCCGAAAGGAAGCCTGCATGCAGGAGACACACAGAAGGCGACCTCTCGTGTTTCCAGGAACCCGTGGGTCGTCGAGGTATGGTGAATGAGTCCCTGATTGGGTAAAAGATGAGCAGATTATCCATATAGTTGGCTGAGAATCGTAAAGGCGTATTTTGTGAAAGCTATGAGCGTTGGACAGGTGTCACTGCATCTGCCAATTGAACAGCTGCACTTTGACTAATCCTGCGAGGTACCTGATCTGGCAAGTCGAGCATGGATGGCCTCAGTCAAGTCCGCCTTGTCAGCTGCCTGTCGCGTGCAGCGGAATTTCGAACCAGCATGGACGCATGAAGTAAGAATATCGTCCTTGCGAATAGGAGTTTTGTAATTGAGGTAACGAACATCACAATGATAACAATCACAATGCTGACTGAAGGCACAGCCATCGATTGGACTGCAGCAGACTGGTTTGGAGAAATTGATATGTTGAACTCATAACCGCTTATCGGCGATTCTCTTATTATTGCTTCTCTGCAGTCTCCTCGGCCACTCCCTCTCTCTGGGTATCATTCTCCTGCTTCTGTTTTTTCTTTGCTGCCAGCTTCTCCCTTGTTTGTTGCTTGCGAGCCTGCCTGTTGAGGCTCCCAATCACTCCACCCTCTTTTCCGCATGGCCACTTCGCCTCAGCTGCTGCTTCGTCTTCCTCGGTCCACTCTCGAGGGAGTACAGCGAAGGTGAGATATGACGTGTGAGTCTTGAGATCGTTCTCAGGTCTATGGTACAGATTGCCATGCATCCATGGTTTGCTATCCTCAGCAACCTTTCCATTGGCGTCGGTCTTGGGTGAATCTGAGGCAGGGGTATCTACATCCATTGCTGATGAGTCGCCGTCACCGTTCGTTGACTTGAAATGCACCTTGTGGAATTCTTTCGTCTTTCGATTGATCTCCTTGAGCCTTTGCATGGCCTCCTTCACATTGGCTGGTGTTTGGACATTGCCTCTTTCCGCAGGAAGATTTGCTCCGACTCGCTCACGAATAGTGTTGATTCGTCGAGCTGAGATTTCCACCATGTCAATGTCCTTCCAGCCAAGAAGCCGGAGCTCCTCAATTGTTCTTGTGACTTGCTCAATGCAAGGAGAGAAGGTACATATATGGACACTTCGTTTGGGGTCCAGAGGTGAGACCCATTCAGGGGTGTCAGCGCCCTCGCTTTCCTTCTTTAACTTGTCGGGCTTCTGTCTTGAAAGGTGATGAAGCGCTTCCCAAGGCGCAGGGAGATCAAGAAAGACTGATGTTGCTTGGGGAGACTTCCCGTCCACATTGAAACCTTCTCCATACACGTCGCGATGTGTCAATTGCACCACCCCTTCCAGTTTATGCTCGTGGATTTCTTCTTGCATCTTGATATACCGGGGCTCGTGGTATTCAAAACTGAAAACCTTTCCCTTCTTATCGTTCTCGTCCTTAGGGTAGCCATTGTACACAGCACGCGCAGAGGCATGTGTAAAGCTTCCACTGCCGGCTCCAGCTTCAATGATTCGAGTACCAGGAACTGCTCTTATTCTTTGAAGAATATAGCTATAATCGGGAGTATACACGACTTGAGTTCGATGAGGCAGACTGCTTGTCCAGAGCTCGGGAGTCGGCCTAAGGATATGGATAAAACCACTCGCAGCTGCGACAGCCTTTTTTGCAGGCTTAGAAGTCACATCTGCGACATCATCGTCTGGGCCAGTCGTTGTCGGTGTGTCTTCATCCGTCGCTTCGCGGCGGCGCTTTCGCCCTCTTGAGCCAGTATCGACATTTGATGCACGAACTTGGGAGCCCCATGGAATACCAAGAAGTGTCGAGTGAGGAAATGATCCGAATCGCGTGTTTAAAGTTGCACCTTCGAGGTATCCATCGACTGCGCCAGTCGACTGTTCCAGTGTAATCGGCTGAAGGTTATCTCTGGAGAGAAGAACAATTGCCAAGTCGCCAGTAGAAGTGGTAGTTCCTGGTTCTAGGAAAGGAGATGGATGGACCATTGATGCGATTGCACGCACAAGCGTGTCTTAAGAATTAAGTTGGGATATGACGGGTAAAGATAAAACTGGATTTGCAAAGACGAGGCAGAAAAATATTTCCAAGATACGCGCGAGGCTGAACAATTAGCGTTGTCTCCACTGAAAACGTTAGTGAGGGGCATTCAATGTGACACTAAAAACGATCATGGGCCAGGCTATTGGATAGACCTCGCGGGGACGCTCAGGTGCTGGTGGCCTGTAGCTCCCCTGTAGCTCAGGGCTGGTCTCGGGTGACTCGAAAACGAAGTGATCTATGGCGTCTTTCTCTCCCTTTGACTCGACTGTGACTCAGGCCTCTCGTTGTAGACATTTGTCTTGTTCTAAGGTACATTGCCTTGCCTTGCATATACACCTCCTTTTATCCTCCTGCGATACCCTCCCTCTCCTTTCCTCCTGTTTCCCCTTCTTCCTACCTTTTGGCGTCTGTATGAATCTCTTTCGACAACGTCTTATTCGATCCAAAATCCCCACTCCATTTTCAACACCCCGACTGCGACCCCTCCATCGATTGATATCATCTCTATACAGCTCCAACACGAGCACAATGGAGTCGCTAAAGCTCTATAACTCGCTCAAGCCTGGCGCTCCAGTGCCCTTTGTTCCTATTGAGAAGGGCAAAGTTACCTGGTATGCTTGCGGCCCTACTGTATACGACAAGAGTCACTTGGGCCATGCTCGCAACTATGTCTCTACGGACATTATTCGTCGCATTCTGATGCATTACTTTGGCTTTGATGTCAAATTTGTCATGAATATTACCGACATCGACGACAAGGTATGAAAAAGAGCTCGCTAGATATTATGCGACTTGCCTAAACCTCTACAGATCATCATCAAGGCACGACGACAACGATTGCTCGAGCTCGAGAAGAACAAGAACTACACAAAGGACGAACTTCGAGATCTAGCCCTGGCCGCTTTCCGGGCATACGCCAAGGGCAGCTTGCCTTTGCTGCTAAAGGACGGAGAGGATATCGATGCGACCAACTATGCGCAGCGCAGAGAGGCAGGATATGGACACGTGCTTGCGGGCGGCACCATTTCTGGCGAGGGAAAGCCTGGCGACGATGAAGCCAAGGTCAAAATGCACCTAAGCAACATGACTGCAGCCGCTGAAGCTATCGCTTCTGGCGAGATCTTTCCGGGCACCGACGAGATTCTATTGCCCTTCCTCGATTCGCTTTACAAGGAAACCATTGACACGAGGGATCAGACCATGTTCACAGATCTGACTCAGAGCATGGAGAAGCTATTTATGGACGACATGGATGCGCTCAACGTACTTCGGCCTGACGTTATCACCCGAGTTACCGAATACGTTCCTCAGATTGCCGATTTCGTCAAGAGAATTGTCGACAAGGGATTCGCATACGAATCCGAGGGATCTGTCTACTTTGATATCTCCGCCTTCGAGCAGGCCGGAAATGCTTATGCGCGACTGCGTCCCGACAACCGAAATGACAAGTCTCTCCAGGAAGAAGGCGAGGGTTCGCTCTCGAAAAACCTTGGTGGAAAGAAGAATCCCGGCGATTTTGCTCTGTGGAAGAAGTCCAAGGCTGGCGAGCCCTTCTGGCCTAGCCCTTGGGGTGATGGACGTCCTGGATGGCATATTGAGTAAGTTCAGATGGATCAAGGCAACTGGGTCATGAGCTAACAAGTGATGCCAAGGTGCTCGGTTATGTGCAGTGATGTTCTAGGAGCAACCATTGACATCCACTCTGGAGGTATCGACCTGGCATTCCCTCATCATGACAATGAGTTGGCACAGAGCGAGGCTTACTTCTGCGAGCATGGTAAAGGCGAGCACACATGGGTCAACTACTTCATCCACATGGGTCACTTATCTATCTCTGGATCCAAGATGTCCAAGTCTCTCAAGAACTTCCAAACTATTCAGGATGCATTGGCTACGAACTACTCTTCAAGAGGGATGCGAATTGTGTTTTTGATGGGTCGATGGAACGATGGTGTTGAAATTTCACCGGATATGCGATTGCAAGCTGACAACTGGGAGTCAACCATCAGCGTGAGTATGACTCAGACCTTGACCTAACATGACTAACATATGGCAGAACTTCTTCATCAATGTCAAGGCATTGCTGGCGGAGGCTGGCATTTCACATGATGTCAAGTCTCTGTCTCTGAGCGCAGATAGCAAGGCCAGTGAGGGTCTCTTAGCCGAGCTCGAGCAAGCCAAGAAGGACTTTGAGGCTGCTTTGGTCAACTCAATCGACACACCAAAAGCTATGTCTGTTATCCTCAAGTTGGTCAACACCGCCAACGTGCACTTGAGAGACAACAAGGACGCTGATCTTGTGGCTCTTGAGTCTATTGCACGCTGGATCACCAAGATCGTGGGTATCTTTGGTCTCGATTCGAATGCTTCGCCGCCATATGAAGGCCTTGGCTGGGCCACAGTCATCGCTTCAGACGTTGAGCCAAAGACAGCCGTTCAGCCCTACGCCGAGGTCTTCACTAAGGTCAAGTCAGATGTTTCTGGCTTGTCTCTTGAGAGCGCTGAGATTTCTTCATTGCTTGAGCAAGACCCTACAGCTGAGTTCGAGTCAATCGCTTCTGGTGGCTCTCGCGACCCTGAGCAATTGGCTTTGCCTTATCTGCGTGCTGTTTCTAAGCTTCGGGATGAGCTGCGTCGCATTGTTTCTAACCAAACACCCGAAACGAAGAAGGCTATTCTTTCTTTGACAGATTGTATTCGAGACGACGACCTCACAAACCTAGGCGTTTACTTGGACGACAGACCTGATGGCCAAGCCTCCTTGATCAAGTTCATCCCCGCTGCTGAACTGATTGCTGCGCGTGAGGAGAAGGCCGCTCAAGCTGCTGAGAAGGCGCGAAAGAAGGAGGAGGCTCGCCTTGCACGTGAGAAGGCTGATCAAGAAGCTCGTGAAAAAGCCAAGGTCAGACCGGAAGATCTCTTCAAGGGTGATGAGAGATACAGTGCTTGGGACGAGCAAGGATTGCCTACTAAGATGAAAGATGGCAGTGATGTGCCCAAGAGCCAATTGAAGGGTTTGAAGAAGCAATGGGACCGACAGAAGAAGGCGCACGATGACCTCAAGGCTAAGGGACTGTTGTAGAAATGGGAAGTGGTTTTGAAGTGGGTAACCTATCTAGTTAGTATCTAGAAAGAGGAGTTCGGGGGCGAAAGCAAAAGCGTTTGGAGACTTGATTATTGCACTGACATCTCTCACATGAATGGCCATGCCTAGCTGCATGTCTTCGCACGCTACTGTGATGAGAATGCAACATAGATTGACTTGAGATGGGGGTTAGATGTCGTGATAGCATGGTGACACTGAGTAAATAGATCCGGCACTTATATCCGGGATACTTGGCAGCGGTATATTCGTCGTTGGGCGGAGTTCATATGATGGCAAGGAAGCAGGATATTCTTTTCTCCTGGTGTATTTGGACTAGTTGTAAGCCATTTCTGCAACAGCACAAAGACAGCTGAGTCGATGAGCATCTAGACTATTGCACAGGACGAAGACATGCACTCTTATATTACAGAATCTTGCAAACTGTAATATTTATGCATATCGATCAATAGATTGCCTTTCGGGAATACAGGTTGCAAGGATGAGTTCGTTGGTCAATTGCGTGATGGGCACTACAGATGGCATAAAACTCCACTATCCCACATCACACTCCCAGGTTCGGCGAACTCTAGACATCTTTACTTGCTAGCAATTGGAAATTACTGGCACTTACTGGTGAAGAGACAACAGTGGAGTTCAATGGCAATGAGAAAGATCGGGTTATCGCGTGGGATGTCGGAGAAATAAAGAGGGCGATCGCCCGCGGATGTTGGCTCAACTTCTCTAGCAATTACCCTCTGACAATCCAGACCTAAGTTCATCTTATACTCGGTCTTCAAAATGGAGAAGAACTTTGATGAGATAGCTGGTGGTAGCCAAGATGGCAGTTCCAGCGATCTGGAGCACATCGAGGTTGACTGGACTGAAGAAGAGGAAGCGAAACTCATTCGCAAGTAAGTAGCCCATCCAGAAACTACGAGTTCTCTCCAAACTAACCTTTTAATCTTCGCTTAGGGTCGATTTCACTATTATGCCACTCTTGGTCCTTGGCTTCTTTGCCCTTCAACTCGATCGAGGAAATATGTGCGCTTATACCGATACTCGTCTCTATACTCGACTAACATAACTTTAGTGGAAATGCTCTCACAGACTTTTTCATGGCTGATGTTGGGATTACTCAAAGCCAGTTCAATGTTGGACAGCAGCTTTTATCTGCGGGTATTGTCTTGCTTGAGGTATGCTTCTCGCGTAAATGTGTTGAATCAGTGTTGCTAATGATGATAGATACCCAGCAACTTTATCCTCTACCGTGTTGGGCCCGCCAAGTGGATTGGATCTCAGATCATTGCTTGGTAAAGTCGTCCCAATGCCTTCTTTCTGGTATTGTCTAACTTCCTATAGGGGTCTCGTTGCCACGTTTCAGGCCTTCCAGAAAGGTTTAGGTGCTTTTCTTTCGACTCGACTTCTTCTTGGGTATGTCTGTCTCCGGATACTTTGCGACACCTTTCTAATACTTGCACAGTCTTTGTGAAGCGGGCTTCATCCCTGCTGGGCTATATACAATTACTCGATGGTACAAGCGTGATGAAACCAGCAAGCGATTCTCTATCTACTTCCTGGGTAACATGCTTGCGTCTGGAGCATCAGGTCTCATTGCATATGGAATGTAAGCCTGGCTTGAACTATCTAACTCTTAATTCTCATGCTGATGATGACAGTCTTCACATGCGAGGTATTGGCGGACTTGGAGGTTGGCAATGGCTTTTCATCGTAAGTCCACACATACTTGATCGACCGTGTCTAAACTAACAAAACCAGCTCGAAGGTATCTTCACCATCCTTGTTGGAATTCTCTTCATCCTGTTCTTCCCAGACAGTCCCTTCAACCCCGTCTCACTCTTCAAGTTCGGTGTCTTCACTGAGAGGGAGAAAGAGATCCTAACGAAAAGAATACTGAAGGATGATCCTTCCAAGATTCACGCAAAGCCAAACGTTACTCAAGAAGAGTTTCGTAATGTGGTATGTATCGTATTCGACGTACCATATCACGGTGTGCTGACGATTACAGATGACAAACTGGAGACTCATCCCCCATGTTTTACTCACTATCAGTGCTCTCGCGCCCGCTACAACCATGAGCTCCTACTCGCCAAGCCTTGTGAAGTCATTCGGGTATGAGAGACTTAAGTCGAATGCCCTTGTGTCAATTGGATCCTGGGCCCTTGTTGTGACCAACCTCTTATGGGGTTATCTGGGGTAAAAGGAAACCAATTCATCATTTGAGACCTTGTGCTAACTCATTCCAGTGATAAGCTTCAAATGCGTGGTCCTCTGGTTGCATTTGGAATCTTCATGTTCTGGGCATTCACGGTACGTATCTCTTCCCGAGATTTACTCATGCATTGCTGACTCGTTAGATTGCTGATCGTGTCATGGTGTTTTCACCCGATGGGCATACACGATTCGCTCTGTTAACATTAACTCATGCTTTCGGATGGCAATGGCGTAAGTTGAACTACATGGGTGATAGGTTCGGACTGGACTAATATTCTCATAGATCCCCTGAATGGTTCTTGGATGGCCCTCAACGCTGGTTCCGCTGGAGAGAGATCTATCACCATGGCCATCCTCATCATGTCAGCTAACACATCTGGCATCATTGGAAGTCAACTCTTCCAAGAGCATGATGCTCCTCTTTACAAAACAGGTTGGACTGCTATCATGGCTCTGGCTTCGGTTGGTCTTGTTATGGCTGTCATTGCGAACTTGCAGTACTTTTTCCTCAACGGCCGGCGGATAGGTCGCAAGGGATTGAAGTATAGCCCTTAATTGGATCAAAGAATAATCACTTTATAGCTAGGTCACAGAGTTGGTTGGCAGTGGAAATGTAGGAACATGACTGTGTGAACTTTTGATCAATTATTAGAGAGAATCATTAGGGAATCATCGAATGGAGAACAATTCTGTGTTTACTTGGCCTCCTTCTTAACGTCCTTCTTGGCCTCGCCAGCAATCTCTTGGGCTTTCTCGGACTTCTTCTCCAGTACCTGTCGCAGTTCCTCAACTGTCTCCTTGAACAACTTCTCACCCTCTTCCTTGTGCTTGTCCGCCACCTCGCTCAGCTGCTGCAACTTCTCCATAATCTCGCCACCATTGGGGATCTCCTTGATGTACTTCTCAATATCGACCCAACCGCCAGTAAGCTCATTACCCTTGGATTTGACCTTCTCAGTCGCATCCTTGACGTACTTCTCCAGGTCGCCTAGGTCGCCAGAGTCGACGGCGGATTTGGCACGCTTGAACAGCTCGGCGGTGTTACCCTCCTTGAGAGCATCGGCGTTCTTCTCGATGAGCTCCTTAACCTTGGGGTTCTTGTCAAGGTAGGGCTTGGCCTCCTCAAGACCCTTCTTCCAGGCCTGGTCGCCGAGCTTCTTGATCTGTTCCACCTTCTCCTCAATGAGCTTGCGGGCCTTGTTTATGCTAGCGACACTGAAGCCTCCAGCAAAGATGTCCTTGACCTGCTTCCAAGTCTCGTCGACCTGCTTCTTAGCCTCGGGGCCATACTTGTCACCGAGCTCCTTGAGCTGATCAACGTTGCTGCCAAGCTTCTCCTTGACCTGGGGGTGGTTGTCAATGATGTCGCCGATGGCATCACCAGCGAGGTTGGCGACCTTCTTGGCGAGATCAGCGAGGACGTCGTAGGCCTTTGAAGCAGTCTCCAGGCTCAGCCCAGACTTGGAAAGATCTTGGAACTGCTTGTAGGTATCGTTGACGAGCTTGTCGGCCTCATCCTTGTTGTTCTCCCGAACCTTTTCCCAGTCCTGGAAGGCAGCATCAACGTAGGCGCGACCACCTGGGATCCAACCAACGTAGGAGTAAGCAAACTCCTTAATGTAGTTCACAGCCTGATCGGCGTCGGGGGTGTTCTTCTGGAGCTTCTTTGCGGCAGCCTCATATTTTTGCTGGGCCTCCTTGGCAGCCTTGTTGATACCTGAAGCAGCACGGCCAGCGGGTGTGTAAGAGTAGATGCCGTAGAAGATAGCTGAGCCGACAAAACCGCCAGCGATACCGGAGGCGAGATGAGCGCTGCTCGATGAAGATGAGGCTGTAGATTGGAATCGAACTTGACGAGAAGCACGAGAAGCACGTGCGGCACGAGGCACAGTTGATCGAATGAGAGGGCGAGCAGGAAGCATTGTGTCGGATTAGTTGTTATGAAAGGGAGAATGGAGAATCAGGTTGTGTTGAAGAGGGGAAAGATGTGAGAATGAGGGGAGGAAAAGGTAGAAGATGGCATTTTGAGGGTGAGTAAATACCTTGACTTTTTTTGCAATATGTCTAAGGAATGACGTACTCATACGATCACGACGCAAACAAACCACAAGCTAGAGCTTCAGGGCCAAAGCTCCGGAAACGTGACGTCAATGACGCTCGTATGCGGACATTGCGGGGTGAGTCTGGCGTTCCCCATGTGAGACATGACAGTCCAATTGGCCAATTGCGTTCCATGTCTCCAAACTCAATCCCCTCTCAAGATCGAGATCCTTGTGCAGTTCCTCGGGTCTAGAGCTGAAGATGATCAGGGGCGCTTTCGTTTGGTGCGTGTTGCTTTGGACGGGGCCGGGATGAGCCGCGGATGTTACGTCACGACTACCTAAGACAACAGCTGCACTAAGCAGGGAGTGTAAGAAAACTTGAGACTTCTTTTCTGAATGAGAAAAATACTTAGGTGAAGGTGGGACAATTCAGCAAGCGTATAGAGTAGTTTATTTTGACACCCTGATTCATCGTCAGAAGTTTTCTTGCTCTCTGGGGACTAATAACCAAGCTCACCAAGCTCAGCTACCAAGGTTCACCAAGGTTAACTTAACATCGGTAGACCGGCTACATGATAAAGAGCCGCTTATTCAGGACTAATGGGTTCGAGACTCTTTAAGATTTCTCGCGTGACGGATGAACCCTACGTGGTAGGCAAGATCTTTGGGAAGATGATTTTACTTCGTTGTCATTTCAGGTTACCCTAGAGCTACTTACCCACCATTCTGTACACTGAATATCCGTCTCACTTTTGGCCGTCTTGCCTTCAGCATCTGAAAGATCAAGGTGAGGTAGTAGTGAAGACAACTTGTGTAAATGAATTGTAGGCCTTCTGAGGCGAAGGACATGTCGACTTCCGGGTTTTGTCTTTGACTCTCCATGAATAATATAATTACATTGTGCAGATCGTGAAGCCTCTCGCCGAACATCGAAGCATAGCCCATAGACGTATCGTGATGTAACGCGGGAAATTTAATTTATCAAGGACTAAGTTAGGACAAGTTGGAAGATGACTGTGATGAAAAGCTGAGATAGGTGATTGGGAACTGTTCACTGTTGGCTGCTGCAGTAAGACATGAGGTCACTTGAGAGCTTGAGACCACACGGAGGCTTGGAGATATGGGTTTGACCGATCTTGAAGCAGATACCTGATTATGGTTATGGTGGTCGTTAGATGATTGGATCTTGTTGTTACCTTGCCTGAAGATGTGGCCATATTGCGATCTGTTGAAAAGAACTGACGATAACATGGCCTCCCACAAAGATGGAATGAAGAGTCTGTGATAATGAATATATAGGGGAAGATATTTATAATGACAGAAAGAAAAAAAAGAAGGCATGAAAACAGACAACCCAAAGGAAGATTATATGCTTTACCTATTCTGCTGTGATCAAGAAGGCCGCCGTGCTTGGCTACCCGTATTGGCTTCTTGGATCTATAGCCTTTCTTGATGCGAAAGATGTCCCTTCAGTTCTCTATTTCTGTTTAAGTTGCGTTACGGGCTGGATGCCAGCCATACATGCTGCATTGCTGAATCCTCTCAGAGTCATATTTAAATCTTGCACTAAAGAATTTTGTGACTGTTTGGGAGCAATTTGTACGAGGCATGCCCGGTAGTACTTCAGATCTGGTTCAGCCGTAACAGACCTTATTGTTGAGGGGAAATAGTAAAAGGATGTCAAGCTCGAATGCTATATTTATCAGTAGCCTCATATCTATGGCTGTACTAACTATAGTTCTATGCGTTGGTCATAGAAACTCTGGGCACAAGACAGAGCTTTGACTGGTAAAGGGGCAGCAAAACTTACGAAGTTAGGACGTTCATCCTAAGCAATAACAATATTTATTTAAGTTAGCTAAACCTGGGGACTCTTTGATATGTTGATCTTGGCTATATTCCGGCATCTGCAGTCCTTTTGGTCCCGGAGCTGGGGTATCTTTTACGGTATGAACCCCGAGGACTATAAAGTGTCTTGACTCAGGTCCCACGTCGAAGCCTGGTTGGCTAGCTAATTTTAGAAATTCCATGTTAGAATTATTTCCGAAGACTCCTTGCCTGTATACATTTGCGATAGTCTATGTACTGAACTAGAAATACAGGCCGTTTCCAACCATAGCTTTATCGAAGTAGTAATAAGCTTAAGTTTTACGGCGTTTCGTCTTCTGAAAGACATCGCCAGCTCAATCGAGTTTCTGACGTCAACAAGTGGATATCATTACTGGACCACTTTAGAGCTTGCAGGCTTTCAGCTAGAGTCACGGATTGTCATTGAAGCATTTTACAATGTAAAGCAGTTCAAGAAAGTTCCCACAGGAATAGAAATAACAAAGATAATAAACTTGTCTTGTGGAATTGATACAAAATGCTGTGGTGAAAGAAAATGATGTTCTGGGTGCTTCTGATCATGGTCTCCACAAGAGATGAAGGTCCAACCGACGTGGTGACATATATCTTCCACTATCCAATCGCCGACCGAGCAAATTTCTTAATCATTCACAAATCAACAACCATAGACTTTATCAACTTTCGCATCATCAAATACTAAAATGACACCTAAAGCCTTGACCCGAGAGACGACAACTGGCGCTGCGCTGGAGAAGGTCCAGGGAGCCATCCAGAGCCCAGCGACAGAGGTTATTCCCAAACCGCCTTCTGACGTAAGTGAATCATATACAGAATGAACGCCATTATACTGATAGAATTACAGCTCGAGGAACTCAAGGCTGATTGTGATTCATTTACTTTCACATCATTCACCACAGAGGATGCATTTGTGCTGGGCAACCTTCTCTACGCCCGTCTTTACCCATACGCTATCAAAGGCAAGCCGACGGTGATCTCAATTGCCCTTGCAAACACCTCCCAGGTTGTCTTCCAAACCGTTACCGGACCTGGCACAGCTCCCGACAACGAGCAATGGGTTCGTCGCAAGAGGAACACTGTTCTCCGATTCGGCAATAGTACATGGTTCATGCACAACAAGTTCAAGGGGGACGAGGTTGCTTTCGCTGCCAAATATGGTATTGCAGATTCAAACAAGGGTGACTACGCAATCCATGGTGGAGCTATCCCGATTCGTGTCCAGGGAGTTGAAGGGATCGTTGCTGTTGTCGTGGTGAGCGGGCTGAAGCAAGACGAGGACCATGGAGTTATTGCCGACGTTATCAAGAGTAATTGGAGCTGTTAGATAATTTCATAGGGCAGTCATCAGGTCAGGCACAAATCTGTCAAGGATGCTCAGGATATCCCTGACGCAGCGGCCGACCGGATTTCCTACTACGGAGTGCCCGTTCCCGCTATATATGCACCAAAACAAATAAAGTTTATGCAGCTAATGAAACCGAAATCCACACTGGTGTGTCGAGACAAACTAAGTTAACCACTCCATGCATGCCGAGCATTGAATTCAATAGTCTATCATCTTTGTCAATGCCTACCTAGAGTAGACACAACTATCTCGACGGCGACCATGAACACGGCGAAATGGAGGATCTCAAAGGCTTGTCAAGAATGTCGCGCCAAGAAGATCAAGTGCAATGGGGAGATCCCCTGTCAAAACTGCAGCATGAGAAATCTCAGTTGCGTCTATCGCGAAAAGGCCCGTAATCGGACGCGCAAGGTCAAACCACGAACCGCAGCTTATGAGACTATCATGTCTCACGATACCATGGAGAGCACGTCTCTGGAACCCTCCGATGAAGGGACTGTGCCGCCTACGCCAAATGCCGACGACACCGCATCTGTCGGTCCTACAGGATCAGTAATGGACAGCGAACGCAGTTTGACACATAATAGTGTTGCTGCGACACATCGCGCATCACCGTCTTGTTTCCTCCAGCTCTACTATGGCCCCTCATCAAATTTCGCCCTACTCAACTCAATCTATCACCAAATAGCAGGGACATGCCCAAATGATCCTCCGTCACGCTCTGGAACTGTCGAAGAAGTTGGTCCGGGTCTAGACCTATTCAGTCATCGGAGACTATTTTTCGGAGATTTGGCTGACAACCAACGGCCATCTTCAATACCAGACGACTGTTCAGCTATGTTGATTGATCCAGATACTGCTCATCGGCTACTCGAGAGATATCTTCTGACCTATTGGCACGGTCTTCCTATCATGAGTAAAGACCATTACCGCCGTCGCTTAAGTGCCCTATATCAACCCCCGGGTATCTTTGATTATGATGCACCAGAGACCATCATAATCATGCTGGCTGTAGGTCTGGGAGCTTCAATGACAGGCGAAGAAGCCATTGCAGATTTTCTTTTTCAGAAAACCAAGCAAGGAGTTGCCAAATTGGACGAGGTTGTGAACATGCAGATGGTTCAGATACACCTCTTAATGATAAGTCGTACCTCCTGAACTTTGCTCTTATATAAGCTTACAAAATCTCACGCTCACTTTCAATCTGAAAGAGCAAGACCAAACTCGGGTTTCTTGCATGTCGGAACTGCATGCCGAAAAGCAGTAGCGGCTGGTCTACACAAGGATGGATGCTCACGTCCAGGATACACAGAAGATGATACAAATCAGCGAAGAATAACCTTCTGGAGTTTATTCTTCTGGGAAACGTTTGTTTATTAACTATCCTCTTTGACTACTACTGACATAGTACAGATGGCAATGCTTTGTTCTTGGCCGACCTAGCTCGCTTCCGGACCCCGGTTCCATCATACCACTACCGAAAGGCCAAAAACTACTAAAGTCTTTGGTCACTCTATCACGTATCATGGACAAATGTGTAAAGAAGATATATAGTCCACGGCATGACTCTCTGTTGCCAGTCTGGAATGCAGCCATCGAGATCCGCCGCGAACTACATCAGTTTGCAGAGCAACAACTCAAGGATATGAAGTTTGGTCTTGTTGGAGACCCCAGCACAGGAGAGCTCGGCGTGTGCCAAGCTATGGTTTCAACAAGTAAGCCAACAAAATCCATCTTCTGAAGCATACTAATCGACGTAGTGTATCATCATACACTCCTATTAACATTCCGCCCCTTTCTCATTTTACGAGCAAAACTGAATCACGACCGTGCTGCTGCTACTTCAGCAGAGAATCTACAGATGCCTCCGCCTTGGCTCGATAGCGCTTGCGAGTACTGCTTGGAAGCAGCAAGGAATTCTGTTGGCTTCTTAACAGGCTCGTGTGCCACTAATATTCTTTGTCGTGTACGCTTATCTCCCTTCCACTCGGAGTCAGAATCAGCTAACAAACGTCAGGATATAAAGTATCATGGCTTCTTTATGGAGGGAGCATGCTATGCTTTGGCTTTCGATATGCTGCAAGAAAAGAAGACAGCCCACCGCAATCTGCCCTGGATTCACTCTGGCCTTAGATGCCTTCGCTCCATGATGGGATCAGCAGGAGTAAACGCCGGTCAGCTTCCAATAACAATCGCCTCAATAGAGCAGATGGTCCGATCTGCCGGGTTCGAACTGAAAGACCCAGTAGACACGAACCAGCAGAAACAGACCCCACAGTCCACGCTCCCTGGTTCACCAGCACCTGTCTCTGTTGCAGGTGGTATGAGGAGCGAGCCTGCGTTCACCTTCCCTTCCATGCCATTCGGATTTGATGTCACTGGCCAGATGAATGGCTGTTCGAGCTCTCCTGCAGGCACTGCATCGGAAGAGATGGCAGATTTTACAGCTGCTGATGTTGGATGGGATATTGATTTTGGAACTATGAATATGGAGGCGTTTTTGTCTCTCGACTCGGCGGAGGCTTTCAATTTTGCACCATGAATACACAACTGCATTCTTGTATTTATCTAATTGGGTTGGCTTTTTGCTTATGCCAGTCCTTGGGGCGTTATTAGCCGCAATGTCGCTGTAACCAGCGCTGGAAGATGAAATTGCATTGGGATGGTCAGGACCATTACATAGATGGATAATGATGGGGGAGGGCTACTGAAAGGAAGGATGACAGGCATGGTGAGGAGCATTGAATTTCTCCAGATATACCACTAACTACGATGTACCCTGACTTATGAGAAAGGTCATCGATTCTTGACAATATGACTCGCATAAGACTATCAAGCTATCCCACAGTTCCTCCTTTTAAGTTGCTACTCATTCTGAAGAGCCAGGATAGCAGACAAGCCTCCAGTGAAGGCCAGAAGCCCCCGAACGATATTCATCGATCTCCACTTCTTCAACAAAGCCACAACCTCATCACGACCAACTTTCTCCTGCTCAACACTACTAGCAGCGATATCGTTGAGCCTATTGTTCGTGGACATCATCCCTAGCACTGTCCAGGGCAATTGAGACATTGTAACGACAGCAGCAACTGCCCAGAGTGTACGCTGAGCCGGGACAAGATAAGCAACTATCCCAGAAGATGCACCTGAGAATAGAGCGAGTGGAACAAGAGTCACCGCCCCGCGGGTGTAAAAGTCCTTGAAGAAGGGTGTATTGATGGAGGTAGGCTGGTTGTAGAGAAGAGGGACTGTGAGGTGTGAAGAGCCAAGGTTTATGCCCGCGAGGACAAGGCTCGAGGTAAGGCCAAAGACTTGAAAGGTTCGTACTGTAGAGTCCATTTTGATAGTTTATTATGAGTTATTTTAGAAGGTGAGTCTTATCTCTCGAGTTGAAGTGAGGAGATATTAAGTATCTTTGGTAGTCTGATATGTAAGACCGGCGTAGTTAGGTGCATGTGGCTTGCTGCAATATCCGTCATAGACTTGGAGACACTGCCTCAGAACTACTACAAATATATCCGTGACAATGCCATCTATCATATGATAGCCGGCTTCGTCGGAACGTTTGACATAGACTGACAAAGGTTTGTCAATGTAACCCCATCATTATGATAAGACCTTAAATTCTTCGTATTCGGTTTATCATGAATTTGAAGAGCAACATGATTAATGAACGAATACATATACAGAGGCATGAAGATGAGATCGGAGCCTAGCAAACAGGATCGCCTTACACCGATTAAGAAAAACCCAGGACCTCGATTTCTCATACTGACCTATGAGACAACTCTAAACCCGAGATCGAGTATGAGGATGCTGATCCCGTCTAGCGCTTATACAGCGACGCTAAGATTTCGACTTGTCGGGATGATTCCACTTGATGCAACCAATCACGTAAACTCTATTTCCCCTAATTTCAGTCAAGCGAACATGGTGTCGGCCTCCTGAGCATTCTAAAAGAGAGCTTCCCCTCAGTGAAACTGCTCAAGCTTGCTGTTGAGACGATGGAGTTGTCTTCGATTTACAAGAACGCCTCGGCGACGTTTGCCTCTTTGCCTCTGGCCTACAAGGTCTTGTGTGCTGTCCTGGTGATTTTTGCTTTGAGCAAAGCATTTTCTGGGGCTGAGAGGAAGGGGTATAAGAAGAATCTTCCGAAATATGCTCCCGTTGAACTTGCAATTGCGAGTTATATCCTTAGTGGGGACGGTATAGGTCGACGAATCTTGTAATAAGCATTCTCTGCAACGCTAGGAACTTGGCTAATTGAAGTATAGCTCAGCTGCAAGCCGCTATGGAGGCTCTCTGTTCGGTCTTACTTCAGGACATCAGATCTTTGTCGACTTGCCCGGCGTAGAACGGCTTTTGGCGCAATCTCATCACACTTTCAACTCTGATCCGGCACAGTACTCGCTCTGTACCCTTGTCTTCGGCAGCACTGATACCCCAGAGCTAAGAGCCAAATTCGACACATCACTGAAGGATCTTGTTCCTCCTCTTGAGCGAACTTTTCTGAACGATGCCGCTTCGACAGCCAATGTTGAAAAGTCTCGTGTAGCGGAGCGAGGTGCTTCGCTTGTCACATTCTCATCTGATCCTAAGGATATGGCACGATGGGAGCTTTCAGCAGGAATCAAAGTGCTTCAGCCAGAGACATCTGATAGTCCAGGGAAAGTGGAGGCAAACCTACAAAGTTTGACTCGAGATTTTGGAGCATGCATGTCTGTTCCTCTCATCTACGGCCAAGACATACTGGATCGGAATCCTCGGCTGCTAGATGACTTCTGGACCTTTGATAATGATCTATTTCCACTACTCATGGTCGGCGTTCCTAAGTGGGCTCCATTCAGAATGATGCAAGATGGTCTCAAGGCCAGAGCCAGAATCATCGATAGTCTGGAGGCAGTGTACAGACGAGTTGACCAATATGAGAAAGGAGAGCCAGTTGATTTTGGTGCCGACATGTCAGATGTTAGTATGATGCTACGAGAACGAAACAAGATCTACAACAGAGACGGATGGACATTTCCTGAACGTGCTGCAGCGGATCTTGGTACTTTCTGGGGTCTCAACGCAAACGCTCAGCCTGTGTTGTTCTGGTTCTTGCTATACGCTTACTCGACCCCGGGCTTGCCTAAACGAATCAGAGACGAGATCTCCCCTTATATCATTTTATCAGATGGCGACAAACCCGAGATCAAGTCAATGGACTTTCCGAGTCTGTTCCGGAAGTGTCAACTCTTCAAGGCTTGCATCTTTGAGACGTATCGCTTGGTTAACGAGCCAACATCTATTCGCTATGTCACTCAACCCGTCAGCCTCAACGATGGCGATCACAAACATGAGCTTCAAGAAGGAACATATATCAGTGTCCCTCTCGCGCTGAAGAACAGAAACCCTTCGATATATGACGATCCTGACACTTTTATCCCCGATCGATTCCTTGAGACAGACCCTGAAACGAGAAAAGCCACGGCACGATACGGAAAGCTGAAGCCTTGGGGTCTTGGAGCTGCGATGTGCAAAGGCCGAACATTTGCAGAGAAAGAGATAATTTCTCTTGGGTCAGCTATTGTTAGTCTTTGGGATATAAGCCCTGCGGAGGGAGAGTGGAAGTTGCCTGCTATGATCCCTGGAACTGGAGTTAAGAGACCAGTCAGTGATATCCGTGTGGTTATAAGTCGCAGAAGCTCTTTCAAGTAATAAAACGGATGTGTTTCGATGTAAGATGAAAGCTTTTAGTCGGAGATTCATATTATATATGAAATTTATGGTACATTTTCGTCACAGGTTTGGTTATATAGTGGCAAAAAATGTAATAAATGTGTAGTAGTATGACCGAGAGTTCGAAGAACTCATTTCATTATTCATTAATTATCATAACCATGCTATCGTAATGTCATAAAAAAAATCCTGGCAAATTCAAAATCTCCCTTCTATACGCCGTACTTCATTACTCTTCGTCATCGTCCTCATCTTCATCCTCCTCGTCTTCCAAGGTAAAGCATGCCACCTCCCTGGAAAGGAGCAACTTTTCGGCCTTCCTAAAGATGGCCTTCCTCTTTTTCTCAAACTTCTCGCAAGCTTCTTGCATTTCTTGCTGCTCACGTGCCCAGAGTTCCAAGCGTGTCATGGAGGTCTCTGGGTCAGCCGTGCTGAGTCCTTGCTCGATGTTCTTTTTGCAGTCCTCAAGCTTTTGGATGTGAGTCTCTGCGGAATTTCGAATCTTCCGGACCATATCCAAGGCTTTTGGGACATCGAGACAAATGCAAAAGTTGATTGCATGACTCAGCAACATCAACAGGTGGTCCACTGTGATGGGCTGTCGGTGAACAGCAATATGTCGAATTTGCTTGATTGAGTAGAGAAAAGAGGTGAGGACAAGGCCACACCCTTGGCAACGGCTGAGCTGTTGGAGGGCTTCCCAGTGCTTCTTAAAATGGTATGCCCAAGCGTTTAGCTCTCCTGCTTCTGGACATGACCACTTCGTCTCTTCGAGGATGCCTGGCATGGCCTCTTGGGCGAAACTAAAGCAGGCATGTTCCAAGATAGCCTGGACTCGTGCGAGCATCAGTGTCTGTGTGCGGATTGGAACATAGACGTGCAGTCCAGGAGCTTTGACTGGCAGAACGTTCGCGACTGATTTGTCTGACCCCGACATGTCTGCAGACGACGAGACATTGGAGCCATCATCACTCTCGGAGTTTGCGCAACTGGATGACCCAGAAGCTGGAGATTTGTTTACGCGGTTGTACAACGCAATAAAATCTTCCAATGATAGTCTATTCTTGAGACCCCGGGATCTCCAAAGCCCATGCTTTCCAGTGCGGGTGGTGTTGAAGGGGTTCTTGGTCTGCATCATCTTGACTGATCGAGGATACAAGCCGTAGATCAAATGGAATAGGATGTTTAATATAATGCTTGGTCTCAAAGACTAGCAGTGGTAGACTGGTATATGGCAATACCGTAAAGTGTAGTGAAGAAGGAGAGTAGTGATAGACTGTATGTAACAATATCGTATAAAGCGTCTCAAGAGAAAAGTAGTGGTGGACTCTTATATGGCAATACCGTATAAAATGTGCTGAAGAAAAGGGGTGGTGAGAGACTGGTATATGATAATGTCGTATAAATTGAAGTTTGTGTGAGTGACTTGTCGTGACTTGGTGAAGATGTGAGTGAAACTTGACGAATCCTGTAGAAGAAGTATAACGAGAATATTAAGGAAGAAAGCTGACTTGAGAGAAAGAGGGAAGATGACTCTACTTTTATACAGAATCTCGTTATACTGCGGTAATGTTAGGGTTGTAAAAGAGGCTTAAGCCTCCAGGCCACAAAGGACACCAATAAACACATACGGGCAAAACACTCGTCGCCCTCACTATCGCGAATCTCGTTATACTTTCGTTTGCCCTACATGTATTAACTCTCTAGTCTAAAGCTTCAAGATTGATAGTTAAAGCTTATGACATCTGAACGAGACATATCAAGCCAACACAGTGGAAGGTTTGTACGCTTATACTGAAGTGTATTTCTGAATCTCTGAGAGCACACCGTGAAGAAATCTCTAGAATGATCATGCCCCTGCAGACTTCTCAGTGTTCCCCATCGACGCATGGCTGAAGGGAAGGATACTTTTTCTCCTATCCGGTCAACCCCCTTTTTTCACAATGATGCCAGGTTAATGCATTCTTTTTCATAGGGTCCAAGGAATTGAAACTCCGCTTGATCTATGAATAGATCATAATGGTCTCTCATCTTTACTGCTTCTTTGTGGAACACAGTTGTGAAGTTGTGGACGAAAGCAAGTCGTTGAGTCACATCTATCAAGGTTCAATGTAAGTTTTTTCCAGCCTCACCTAGCACATATGGTTTCTTATCCTTCAGTCAGGTGAGACGCCAAACTTTCATGCCAGCCAATCCAAATTTTTAACTGGCATATGAGTCATTCACGAAATTTACAAGACTATTGAGCCTGGTAAAATCGACTCATGCGATCCTTAGTTGACTTTCTCATCTGTTCCGAGAGACCTATAAATCGCAAGGTAGCTATAAATCTTAATCTTATCCATACCATAATACACCAGTCTCAGTAAGCTCAATCTTTCTTGGGTATAATCATTGATCATTGTAGGTCTATCATGCTTCTCGTTTATACTTTTGCGCTACCCTATACACCGGGTCCCAGAGACGTCGCATACTGCGTGTCAAACTTCAAATAACCTCCCATCTACTCCAGTCTAGTTGGTCTTCTCACTGTAGACAAAAGCATCGAGCTCCTGGTACGTCTTCTCCAAATCATCGTTGACGAGAATCTTGTCAAACTCGGCATTCTTGGCCCACGCAAGCTCATCCTGCGCGCGTGTCAAGCGCTGCTGGATGCTCTCCTCGGTCTCGGTGCCACGGCCGCGCAATCGCTTCTCGAGCTCTTCGGTATCAGGGGGCGAGACGAATACGTAGCGTGCGTCGATGGAAGAGGCCTTGACTTGCTTGACGCCCTCCATCTCGATGTCCAGAACAACAACCTTGCCCTTGGCTGTCTGCTCCTCGATGGTCGCCTTGCTCGTTCCGTAGAGGTTGCTTCCAAATTGAGCACTATAGGTAACCAGTATTAGTACATGTGCCGGTCGTTGATGCGCTTGACTTACTGCTCGACGAAGCCGTCCTTGGCGATCAAATCCCGAAACGCATCCTTGGTGACAAAGTGGTACTCAACGGCATCGGTCTCACCCTCGCGAGGGTTACGAGTGGTATGCGACACAGAAAGAGTAAAGGTATCGGGGTGGCGGCTGAAGAGCATCTTGATCAGCGTGCCCTTTCCGACACCGCTAGGTCCAGAGATGACGAGGGGTCGACGGTCCGAAGGAGAAGCCATTGCGAAGGAGCGTCTAGAGCAAATCGTTAAACAAACGTAATGTGAAGAGGCGAGTTGGAGGTGCTTACTTTGGAACCTGCGAGAAGGATTTTGTACTGGATATTAACAAGTTTGAGTTGCGCTTCGCATAACCTAGAAACCACCGCATCGTGCCCTGGGAAAATGCTAACAAATGGGGTGCTTATGCTGGAGAGCCACCAGGCACTGTGGGGGAACTCATCCAATCACGTGGCGGTAGGTGGTTTACATCTTCACCGTGAGACTCATCCCAGAACTTTGAGTATAAAAATAAGTAGCTATGTACAGAATATGCAGGCACCGACATTTGAGATGACTCGTTCCCAATCGGAAGATCATGTATTGCCCGAGCCTCAGCCGCTGCTTTAAACCGAGTGAAAAACGCTGTGATCTATTTATGCTTTCGCTATGGTCTATCATTACGACTATTACCTTTAAGCCCTATCGTTACACATTACTTCATCCACGTCTATACCATGCCAATGCTACCCATCCACCTCATGCAAGTCATGTCATCAGCTCAATCGTGGTCCTTTCAATCAACCCGTTGCTTATTCTGGGAAGATCCCCTTTCGAGCTCAGGAGTCGGCATCTGACGACTCCGTTCTTCTTCTTCGGGGTCAAGTGCTTCAACAGTTGTATCCCTACGGATACGGAATCTCCTTCCTCGCCAGTTCACAGTATTCCCGAAGACGACCGCGTATGCCCAGATCGGTAGAGCTAGAGCTTCACGCACAATCCAGGCAGCCAAAAACTCCGAGAATTTGCGACTTTTGACTCCCCCTCGATTGATGGAACCTCTGGCGAAACGAGGTGTGTCTTCATCAGCCTCCACAGTGACGCCAGAATGCAAATGTCGGTAACCTAAAAAGTCGATTATCATCCAGGCAGTGATCGTTGTGAGCCAAATGATCACTCTGGCAGTCCAGGTCGGATGTATGCCACATATCTGCAGTGTGGTGATTGCAAACGTAAAATACGTGGCAAACACGAAAGATTCCGTGAATGGCTCAATCATTGTAGCTGGGAGAACCGTGAACTTTCTCGCTCTGAGCCACCGAGAGCGGCGTGCTGTATATGCTTTGCCAGACATATCTGACATCGGCTGAACGGCAATGTCACCCCAGACTAACCCATGGTTCTTGTAACCGTCAAATTTAGCATTCCAAAGGACATCGCCGATCATATGATCTTCGCAGATATTGTGCGAAAAGTAATCCACGCCCGTTGGGAGGCCTTTGCCCCTTGGTATCTTAGGATTCAGTAAAGGGTTGGTCGCATGATCGAGCTGAGATTTGCAGAACATGGTGCTCTTGCCCACAGCGCAAGGGGCTAGACCAGAAGTGTTGATAGCGCTGTAGAATTTGGCATGCGATGTTGCCATGAACATCTCATCAAGTCTTCCACCGCCCTGTGCCCAAAGCTTGGGGTTACCATGAGAACCCCCTTCGCCCAGATCTAAGTCATCGTCTTCAACAGAGGAAGCAGCTAACAGCGGCTGACCATCCGCTGCAACCGGTGCGGAATAGTCGATCAAGTCAACAACAATGGGAAGTTGATGAACAAATTTGTAGGGTTTGTTCCCGCTACCAACATGGTGGCCCTTGAGCTTCGCAACCATGCGCCCCAAGACTCCCTTGGCCATCCAGACGTTGCAATCCACAATCCACACAATATCCCCTCTGGCTTCTCGGTATGCTCGGCTGATATTGCGAATTTTTGGATTCGGCCCCATATTCGGCATCGTGTTTAACGAAAGGTCCTCAACCTCAAACAGGATTTGCGCATCAAGATCGGGAAAGTCCTCGAGGACCCTCTGTAGAATCGGGTACGCCGGATCGGTGTCATTTTCGAGACAGAGACGAATCGAAATCTTGTCTCGGGGGTAGTTCTGGCGAAATGATGCGGCGATACAATCGTAGAGTCGAGGCTCGACGCCCTTAACGGGTCGAATTATGGTGACATGAGGAGCATCGTCACCCAGGTTGGGTGAAGGAGCTGGTCGGCTAGCAAAGTTGCGAAAGCTTATGGGCGTTAGAGCTCGTAGCTTGGTAGTGAATGGTTCAGTGAGACTTACATGGCCCGGACACCAATAGCAATGACGGTGCAAACAACAACAGCTAAAAACAAGAAGACGCCAGCAATGGCCTCTTTCGACGACCACATTCTGATCGGTGGTGAATGGAAACTGAGCTAGCTCAGATGCAAGAAGCAAGGTAGCCGGTAAGATAGAAGACGACTCTCACCGCCTTCCCAGTCTAGACACCGCCTGCCAAATTGAACCTTTAGAAGAGGCAGTAAGTGATAATGAGTGACAAAAAATTTAGGTAAATTAGCGTGAAGCTGAGGAAATCTTTGCGAGCATTTGACACCTTATATCAAAGTCCGATGTTCCTTGCTTCCCAAGGACGAGGCACATAAACCAGTGTAGATGGGGGAGATTGAGTGTACCTCATTAGTCCTGGGTGTTTCTCCCTTCATACCTAGACTTGTAAGCGGGCGCAACGTGAGTAACTTTCCACTCTCTTACACACAGACCCACCGCTGGTGGTGCACTGTTTGCCTTCCATGGTAACTTCGTCATCTCCCCCTCGAGATCGGATTCCTAGGGGGAACAGACGATAGCGCAAGTCAATAGACACATTCTCTTTCTCTAAGATGGACAATCGGAAGTGAAAAACACTACTGCTTTCCCATTCGATAATGCAATCCCCTAACTTGGGTCTTGAAGTGACGACCCCTTCCCGGCGAGTCCGCGAGCATCAATTCACGGTAGTCATATGATTGGCTGTCTTTTGAGAGCAGTACATACTTCCTCGTTGAAACGCAGGACTCCTTCACGACAGAAGTTCATGGCACGCGTATCTCCGAAGCACATGCCATGCTTACCAGTTTCAAGACGGTCGATGAACCATTGGCAGACCTGCTTTGAATACGACCAAGAAATAGCTGAACTATGAGAATCCAGCATGAGCACCATGATGAATCAAACTTGAATGAGGGAGTACGATCGGAGACAGGATTCAAGCGCCTAATTGACAGGAAAATAAAAATCAGGTGGTGTCAGTCACAAGTTGTTCGCAGGAGGAACTGAATTGCGATTTGATCCAGCTATCTTCATATCATTTGATTCTAGCGAGTAGACTAAGGGATACTCTCGATATCCGAAGGCTGGTGCATCCCAACAACCTGTGCCGCACCATCTATGGGTTTGGACCAAGCAGCTCGTCTCTCGATAAATTGCTCGACTTGCGGTCTCAATTTCGTATCTGCAAGACTAAGATCATCAACAGTACCAGTCCTCAGAATCGTCAAGCCTGGAAAACGTGCGCCACGACGATACATGAGTGTGCCGCAAGTCTTGCAGAAGTAGTTGGTCATGGTTGCGTTGGCACGAATGGTCTTCTCCTCACTAAAGGTTGAAAGATTGTCTTCACCACGGACGTGCTTGAGATATGTGTCGTCGACAGTGATGTTGGATTGGTAGAAGGCTGAGCCGATCTTGCGACAGTCGATGCAATGGCAGACATGACGATTGAGCAAACCGGGCTTTTTCAGTGGCTATGAATTATCATGTTAGGGCCTTGAAGTCTTCGCTTCCCTTTATACCACTCAGGGAGACTTACAAGTACGAGCTGCACAGCTCCGCAGAAACAAGTCGCTGTTGCTTCATCCTCAGTTGACCAGCCATCACTCGAAAGGTGAACAACGGGAAAGCCTTGGTCATCGAAAGAATTCATCCTGAAGACAGCCCGTAAATGAACTTGAAGTCGGGGAGATTTTTGGGGTAAATGAGAGATTGGTGCTTGTATAAAACAGCCGATGTGCTGTGATGTTGGAGGTGGTGTTAGTGGCTTAGAGTAAAGTCGTTGTAATCTTGAATTTGCTATGTTTCAATGCTACAGGAACTACGAGCCTCTTTATAGCATCTTGATAAATCTCCCTGGTGCAACTGCATGGTATTATAGAAGTGATGCATTTCTTATCATGTGTAGGATTCTAGAGGTAACGTTATGACGCTATTTGTTTGGCGTTGGGGGATGCTGACATCTCAATCAAGCTGATGAACAATACGGGATAGCCATTGGATCACGCCTTGTCGTCATCACCGGCCTATTTACGTTTGCATTCCGAATAATTAGCACTCCAAATCTGAATCCAATAGAGTTGCTTGCTCATCAGCGAAGCATTTATAATATGCAGCGAAGACGGTAGAAGGTCTGTAGGATGAACCACTTATTCACAGGTAAACGGCCCGAACACGAACATACTCGGAGTTCTTCCAAAGGAAAGTTCATCTCTCTTCTAAGTCAGAAGTTCTCGAGTTGTTCTCGGCAAGACTGGGTTATAGTACTTTGGTTCGCCGTCTAACTCGCTGCCCTTCTTCTTACAGACTACCTGAGCTTTCTTAAAATCATCGGCCAACCCTCGTACTGAATACCAGCCAGGAAGTTGTAGTTCCCCGGTCTAGAGGTCAAGTATCCAGGAAACGGAGAATTGGCAGTTCTGGTACCAAGGGAACATCTCGCCCGCAGTGGGTTTGGATCGAGGGAAGACATGGCAATTATTGATTAGTATAGGGAGTTGAACCGAAAGGCTTCCAAGCGGTGAGATACCACAAAGAAATGGCAATATAAAACAGCATTTTGTCATCTCCCATGTTGTGGTTTACTTCAAAACCTCGTACGCGAACATCCAATTGCCGTGGAGCTGTTTGTCAAATCTCCGGAGCGGAGCCAGTGAGCGAAATGGCCTTGCGCACAAGGCATCAAAGTGGGGAGCTCCAATTCCAAGAAAAAGCTCGACTTTTCTGCCCCCGTCAACTTTTTCCCGTCATCATCCTCACAAAACCACAACAACAAAATCTCTCAAAGCTCGTGGAAGCTTAAGGACCTCGGTCGGGCTTCACACTTGAGCAATTGACATTGTTCAACTCGTCGAGGTTGAGCAGTGTGTTGCTGTGGATGGCCACGAGGTTAAATACCCAGCCAGCATCGTGCCTGGGTCACGTCCTAGATAGGTAGGTTTCTTTCTCATTTCTCTCTTTTGCGTCATACTCGAGATGCAATTGAGTTGCAGCTCCTGCGCACTTCATCCTCCGGAGCAGTGGAGCTTCATGTTGCGGTGATGACACCATATCAAAATGCTTAGAGAATCCATTCATTTGGTCTCCCATGAAGCTCTGATATTATAGACTACAACGGTATCTGAGCAACACAAAACTTGATTCTTTAATTTCATCATCATTCTGGAAATTCAACTGACATCTGTCAAGACCAAGATGACCCCGACGAGAAATGGCTGAGATTCAATCATCAAACACAGTCTCCGTTGGTACCCTGCCTGCCACGGATTCCGCCGAAAAACGGCAATCCCAGCAGCGAGGGCCTCCATTGCATCAGATCTACGCCCTCCCGGCACCGATCCGCACATTCCCTTTACCGGCCTTTTATCCGAACAACCCCATATCCTTCTTCCATGTCGCGTATGCGTGGTTAGGCCAACTGTGGTCTCCGCCCAAAGCGGAACCCTCGGTTGTACATAATGGTGTATGGTCCGCTGCTACATCATCCGTCCACATCACGGATGATGTTTCTACCCGAGCTTTGTGGGAGCAAGGCTTCTACGGAAAGGGTAGTCTTAGTCGTAGTGAACCAGCTTGGTTAAAGCGTGAACAGGTTCGTCAAGGACTGGCTGATGCACACGTCAGCGAGATTATGACTGTGCAGAGAAGAGAAGAGCGTATGCGTGCCAAGTGGGAACGAGCACGTCTCGAGCAAGAGGCGGTCCGAGAGACCCGCCGCAAGGAAGCGGAAGAAGCAAAAGCGAGAGAGACCAAGGCACGAGAAGCCAAAGCCTTTGAAGCCAAGGAACGAGAGCTACGTGCCAGAGAGTCGAAAGACATCGCAGAGCCCAGATCCATCAAACCTATCTCGCTGTCGGCTGCCCTTCCAACTTACGAGTCACCTGTCAGCCCTGCTGCGCTTTTGGCTCTGCCAAATTCACTAGTGGACATTGTGAAGCCAACGCCTATCAAGCCTGTGAATCTACCCGTGTCCACTCCCACGCGTGCTTCGCCAGTGTGCCCTGCAACTATCCTAGGCATGCCGAACTCTGCCGCTGAAATTGCCGAAGAGTCTGCCATCGAGGCAGCTGAAGAGATTGACGGTCTTGGAATAACCGGAGTCCATCCAACGGCGATGGGTCTGTCTGTGGATACTTTCCTCAATGGTCATGTCATGGAACCAGTTGCGAACGGAATTCTTCACCATGAGGTGAATGGCACTTCTGTAGTTGCGTCTTCGTCAGACGAGGAAGACAACACTAAGCCTAAGAAGCGACGCAAGAGTGTACGATTCTCGCCAACAGTGGAATCCACTACCTTTCACTTCGGAGATCCCCCTAGCCCCAAGCGTTCGACGTCGAATGGCACGGCTAATGGGCTTGCCGATATTCGCGCCGCATCACCCGTGGCTATAAACGGACACAATGAGAACTCTTTGGAGCGTACTAGCAGGACAGTGCTGAAGAATATGGAGCATCTCCAGCTAACGCCGGAGGAGGCTTTCTTTCTGAACTTTGGTTTGGGTGTTCTGACGGTCACTGATCCTGCCTCGGGTGCTCAGCTCTCGTCTTTGGACCTGTTGAGACGCTTCAGACAACATTCATACTTCCCACCTCGTGTTGAACCTGCGGATCCCGCGCTTCAACCCGACGATAACTTCCTCATCCACTATGCAGTGTATCATTACTTCAGATCTCTTGGTTGGGTACCTCGCGCAGGCATCAAGTTTGGCGTGGACTGGCTACTATATGCTAAGGGCCCGGTCTTTGACCACGCCGAATTCGGTCTAATTGTTGTACCATCTTATTCTGATGCCCTTTGGAAAGAGGCTGGAAACCAGGACCCTCAGAAGACATGGCAGTGGCTCCATGGCACGGTGCGTGTTCTGTCACACGTCACCAAGAGTCTCGTTCTGGTTTACGTTGACGTACCGCCACCTTCGAAATTTGAGAAGGCTTTGGAGCAGGGTGTCGCTGAAGCGTTAAAGCTATACAAAGTCAGAGAAGTGATGGTGAAGCGATGGTCTGCCAACCGTAACAGAGGTTAACCGCTGGACGCTTCACGACGAAATGATGATACAACGGAATTGCAATGGTATACTGCTGGATTATTCCTCTTTGGCGTAGGAACAGGCCATCAGGCGTTTGCGATCTACTGTACACAATATGTATTATGCCATCAAATCAATATCAATGCCCTTTTCGAGGCCTCATAAACATACAATACCTGAGACTTTTTTATCTATTCGTATCACGTAATATGTGAAACTGTCAGCCTCGTTGGTGTCGCACTACATCACCACATGAGGCCATTTTTGCTTCTGACTGAAGCCATCGCTGGGTCCAGCTCCAAACAACGCGGGGTTTAGAGCCGAGAAACCCCACATGAAGCAATGTCTCCCTTTTGGCCGAGGTACGAGGATCGCCGCTGTTGTTGTTATATAGAAATAGATCCTTGCTGAGCTTCGATCTTGACTTGCCACATAGAGTTCTTTCGTTTCTTGATTGTACGTTTTGTTTGTGTTAATAGAAGGTCGCTCTACGCTACCATGTTCCCTCGAAGGCTGACAGCTTATGGCTGTAAAGCTCTCCCTCGCGGACTCTCATCGACTCGAGCAAGTGCTCAGATGGTCAGCCTCAAATCAACAAACTCACAATGTCTTACACATCGACGGACTCTCACAACAAAGAACTTTGGGATACCCCCGCTGTTTGAGCCAACAGCAACCCTTTCAGCCAAAGACAACAATCTCACCATCTCCAGTGGAGATCGCTTTATCCAGATTCAAGATGAGAAGCATGGCGGCTGGACACGCCTTGATGCGAGCATTCTTCGCGATAGCTGTACATGCACAACATGCGTCGACCCAGCCTCTGGCCAAAAGAGCTTTGCGACAACAGCAGTTCCCTCGGACATCGCAATTGACAGCATCCACACCACTTCAACCGGTGTGGGCATCTCGTTCAAGAATGACATGTACAAAGATCACAAAATGGTTCTTCCTTGGAGTTCTGTCGACAAAGCCCTTGGCCATGCGCCAGTTGAGAGAATGCCATACCCGAGACAAGACGCAGTGTATCCCAAAACAGGGCGTACGTTCTGGGACAAAGCGACTATTCAGCAACGTGTACGAAAGATTGACTATCATGAGTTCATGAAGGGCGATGATGCATTCTGGCATACTCTCCTTGATTTATCGAACCTCGGTCTTGTCTTTCTTAAGAACGTGCCGCACGATGAGAACTCCATCGTCGACATTACAACACGAATCGCAAATATTAAAGAGACTTTCTACGGCCGCACTTTCGACGTTCGCGCTAAGCCAGACGCAGAGAATGTAGCGTACACGAGCGGATATCTTGGTCTTCATCAGGATTTACTATACCTTGAGAGTCCACCCGCGATCCAACTTCTTCACTGTATGGAAAACTCGTGCAATGGCGGAGAGTCACTATTTAGCGATGGCTTATTCGCCGGAAAGCTGTTGTGGCTACAAAACTCCCCGACAGTCAAGAATCTCGCTCGTGTAAAGATCCCATATCACTATGAGAAACACGGATACTTCTATCGTCAGCAGCGATCACTATTTGATGTTGGACCAGATGGAAACCTCGCAGCTGTATACTGGAGTCCGCCGTTCCAGAACCAATTCCAGGTTCCAGCTGTCGATGCAAGAGCGTGGCTCGAACCAGCGCAGTTATTCGATGGGTTGATCAATGATCCTGAGGCCATGTTCGAGATGAAGATGAAGCCAGGAGAGTGTGTGCTTTTCGATAACATGAGGGTCATGCATGGGAGGAATCAGTTTGACGTTGGTGGGGGATCGAGATGGCTGAGAGGCGCGTACATTGCACGAGAGGACCTCGTGAGTCGTGTTCTCCATGTGCCTGAAGCGTTGGCAGCGGAGTATCGCAATGGCAAAGAATGGAGTGGTTCGCTGGAGGATGAGGAGTTGAAGGCGTCGAAGTGGTTTGGCAAGGTCGGGGCACAGGTTGAAAGCGTTGTTGATGGATTAAAGAGAAAAGGAGCTGCGGAGTTGGGCGAAAGAGATTATGAGGTGTTGAACCTGGGATAGCATATAGAACACGTACGGCATAGCGAAAATTACGAATTGGTTAAATTGATGGCTCAGATTGAGCTGCTTTTCTATTACCTTTCCGATACGCCGAAATTGCCCACCAAACACCATTGATCGTGAATCATTTCTCAGTAGTCATAACTCAATATCTCCCGTCCTTGGCTCCTAAAAATATCAATCTACCACTTCTTGGCCTCGACACCCTCGGGGGGTACCGTCTCAACAGTTCTATTCTTGACATCATCCCAGTCAGTGCTGAGACTTGTACCATTGCTCTCAGTGAAGCTCTTCATCATGGCTCGTTGCTGCTCAGGAGTGGCACCCTTGAAAAGTTTCTTGAAGAACACGTTGACGTCTTTTTCCTCATCAGAGTCAACGTCGTCGCCAATGGTGTCCCAGTTCTTGGGACCAGTACGAGACGATGAGGGGTATGCTGGCTTCGAAGACTCTTGCGTAGCGGGGGCCTTGTCTTTTGCTTCGGTAGACTCTTCAGCCTTCTTTTGGGCAGAAGCCTCTGCCGCGGCATCATCCATGGCCTTCTTTCGGGCGTCTTTGAGAACCTTGAGTTTTCTTGAGTGAAGTTAGTAACATGAAGCGATTGGGAACTCGCGAAACTTACTCCGCCTCCTCAGCAGCTGCAGTATCTGGAGCAGAATCTCCTGTCTCTCCCTTGAGCTGCGCCCACTTTCCAGGTGTCTTTTTCTTGAGTGCTAACTCAACCTTGTTGGGCGTCACCCTGTATGTCGATGCATCTGTGTCAATCTCACCCCAAAGATCGAGTGTGAATGGCTTCTCGTCGCCGCTGGGCCAAATGATAGAGTCAAGGTGAGCTGATTTGGGTTTGAATTGGACCTGAAGCTTCTCCTTATTGACGCCCTTGGAGAAGATGGATACTGTCATAGTGGTGTCGTTCTGGAATTCCTGGACTCGCACTGGGGTATCAACGGGCACAGTAGGTTTGGGGGCGGGTCGTGTGGCAGCAGCTGATTCCTTGGCCTCGACTTTCTTGCTTCCCAAATCCGAAAGCTCCTTCAACTCGGGCTTGTTGGTCGTGGTGAGCTTGCGTGCAGGGTCATCCTCTGGAAGCTTGTCCATAGCGAACAGGATCTGCATTCGCAAAGTGCTCGCAATGCGCCACTCTTTAGCATTAGCAACATCATTGCCCTGTGCTCCTAGCGCACCTGCCGCCCCTCCCTGTGACTTGTTGATATCGTCTGTCTTTGACTCTTCCTGAGCATCCTTCAATGTCACTTTATAGAATCCATTCTCGTCTGTGTTTTTCTTCGCTGGATCTTCCTTCTCTACCGCAGGGAAGCCTTTGACTAAGCGCATAGCATAAACACAGCATGCGTCGGCGTTGGCATATTGACCAAGCCGAAAGTAGGCGACAGCACGACGGTAGTGGGCATCGACGAGGAGAGGTCGTTTGTTTCGTTGGTATGCGGTATGCCAAGCAAAGTTGGCGTCGTCAAGGGCCTCTTGGAAGCGCTTCTTGTTGATTAGGGCTTTCGATCGGGCGACAAGCCATGCAGGGTTCTGCGAGGCCTTCAAGGCGGTTGAGAGCTTCTCGATAGCTTCATCCCAGTTGCGTGCTTCGACGGCGGCAAGGCCTTGCTGGGCCAATGTGATGTGCGACATGGTAGACTGCAATTTGTGGGTTGAGAAAGAATCTTGAAGGGTAAAGAAGCTTTGCAGAGCCACAATGGGGTGAGTTGGTATTGTTAAGAGTTGGTGGGAAGGCGGTAGTGGAAGGTTTAAAGTTGAAGTTAGGTGTGATTGATTAATGGTTGGTTCTGGAAGCTTTGGTGGGGCATGCCGCATGATGCAGGCAGCTCATGTTAGCCCCCGCGCCGTGTAAGTGGAAGCGGAAGCTCTGGTGCCTAAGAGCCAAGTTACCTTGACCCTGAGCATTAAACTTCAGGATCTATTGATGACGGCTTTATTTGCCTTCAGAGATAATCCTCTTGTGGTTCCTTGAGTGAATCATTGATGCGAGCGTCGCAATGTCACGATGAAGTTACTGCAAAGCCGGGCCCTAACAAGGTGCTATAAAGTATTTCCCATACTTTGAACCAACACAACTCTCAAGTAGTCTGTTTTGTTAGTTACAGGAAACAAACCATCACCCAACGTTAATCATAGTCGAAATTTCTAGTCGTTTTGTCCTTGGTGGTTGAAGGGATGTCTACCACGACTTTGTCAAGTTGCGCATAAGTCACTGGGAGATCATGTAGATAGATCCTAGTAGCATTAAGGGTTTCCCTATTATTGTGTTTGAAAGAGTTTTTGGGGACTTATTCTAACTATGTCCCCCTATATGTATTATAACATTAGGTATTTGGCGCTTGAGACCTAGGACTGCTGTCTTGGGGCTATTTTCGCCACTACCTAACCCCTCGATTTCCGCCACCGAGGTGTTGCTTGTCCTTCGTATGCAATACAATACCGTTCTCTCTCAGGCGAAATCCACTTCAAATTGCTACCTGGCAGTAATTGGCAATACTTGATCTTAGATAACCCGGTTATGACCAATATCTACGGTCTACTCAGGTAGTTGCGTTGTCTGCTATCTGGTTGTAGTCGCGCCTCACTTGACCGGAGCCTAACAACTGGAGGTGCCTTCCCATGATGGGAGTATGACAATATGTGTTCCTGCCATGCTATTAAACAAACCCGGAATCGGGCCATACCTAGGAAGGTACTCCCAACAGTTTTCGGCGGCCATTCTGACTTCATTACGTTCCTGCCACCAGCCCAGTTAACAGCCTTCGTTCGCTCCATGGGAAGGAGTTGCTGTAAGTTGTTAGGATACAAAACGAAGTCTCACAATCCTGAACTTGATCTTGTCTTCTTTTCTTCTTCATGCTGCGCTTCTCGCCCCGCAGCTGGATATTGGCTATCCTGTATGTTGCTCGCGACCCTGGCGACCAACAGTCAATTACCCACTCTGATATTCAAGGTATTGGAGTGGAAGGGCACAATTTTCTGACTCTCAGTATGCTTCTGGCGTGCGAACTCTCTTTTTCATTGCATCCATCGGCTGGTCTGATGGTGTGAAGAAGAAGCTGTTAGTATCTCTGTAGATTTGTCAGGTGTGTATTGCAGACATAGGTGGGATCGTTGCAGGGTGAAAGGAGGCTGATCAGACGACGGGTGTTGCAGGAGATAACGAATGGAGATGGGCAATACGGGAAATGAGGTCGGGGCGACACTTGGTATAGCTTGAGATCTGGGGGTGGGAGAGGTGAGAAGCAGAGGAAGGGCCAGAAACCATGGGACTACTTGTACACAAGTCAATATGAAGGCAAGAATCCTAGGACCAGACAATATCTTGGGTAAGGTAGTCATGGAGGTGTTTGAAACGTATATTCTTGATGTATTCGTGATTAAGATTATTTTCAAAGGCTTGACTTCGACAGTCCTACCTTGTTATTCATGCCTCATGTGTATCCATCCGCCTAGCTTTTAGTTGCCCTTGCCCTTTACACCGTTGGTCTTGACTCCATTTGGCTTTGCACCATTCACCTTTATCTCTACTGTTTTGGCTCCATTTGTCTTCACCCCATTCTGCGCGACCGCCCAGCTTGGTACCAGCTTCTCCTCGGGAAACCTTTTTGCAAACATGCCCAAGGCCTTGATGGTAAAGGTGAACTTGTAGTTGGGATAAGAGATCATGCACGACTTATTGAAGACACCTTCGATTGCCTCCTGCAACCACTCTCCGTTGGGCTTCTGACGATCCATTATGAACTGAATTCCTCGTCTCAAGGGTTCCACGTGAGGATACTCAGCTTCCATCAGTCCGATCAGAGCCCAGGCTGTTTGGACAACGAGGGAGCCTGAGGGATGCTCGACGTATGTCATCGTTTCACAGGCCTATGATTGTTAGTAAAAGCTGTGAAGCAAAGTCTGTGTATCATACCTTGTAGCTTTCTGACCATCCGCCGTCAGCTCTCTGCTTGGAGATGAAGAAATCGCAACCACGTCTAGAGTTCTCGCCTGTTGCATATGTCTGGCCGATGTGCTTCATGCTTTCAAGCGCAAACATGCCAGCGTATGTGAAGCAGATACCCCAACTTCCGTACCAGCTGCCATCGGGTGCTTGGTTGGACTTGATCCATTCGGCGGCTGTCCGGATAAGTGTCCTGACCTCGTCTGTTCGGTAGTCCGGCCAGTGCTTATTGAACATGGATAAAGCTGTGACGCAAGCTGTTGTGCATTCAGGGTAATCGTACTCGATCATGATACGGCCAAAGACCTCGGCGGCATTGAGCATCTCCAACCATTCGCCTCCTCGTCGCTTCTCGTATGAAGACATACCGCCGTTATCGTTCTGGTACAGAAGCAGAGTATCGACGGCATCGAAAAGACGTCGATCTTCGAGAACCTCAGGAAGGCCGCCCACCTTCTGCAGAAGAATAATAGCCTTGAGCGCTTCCGAAATGCAATCACTGACACCGTAGCCCTGATCCCTGTTGCTGAATGGCCAGCCACCCTTTCGGGGTTGACGATAGCACACTTCCTGATCGGCACAGTCCTCTCGAATCTGCTGACGTTCCAAGTAGTGCAGTGACTTCATGAGCATGGGTCGGTACTTTTCATTCTTATGAAGACCAGCCTCGAAAACAGCCTGAATCAAGAAAGCCGTGTCCCAACATTGTACACCATTGGTGCCATTGGCCAACATGCCTTCGTCCTTGACCCATAGATACTCTTCAAGTCGCTCGATATGCCTCTTGACACCATAATTATCAGGGCCATCGCGAGCATAGCACAGAACAGTGTTCATAGCAGCGTTGACAGGGGCCAAGCAGGCATAGCCTGTGTTGGCATCCTCCATATCGACTTGTTTGCTGGCCCATGCTTCGGCTTTCTCTTTGAGGAAGTTGGGTCGCAGATAGGGCATCCAGATATTGGCAAGCACCCAATTGGCGGCGTTGAGAAACCATGATTTGGGGTGATAGTTGTCAATAACGCCAATGCTGTTACGATGGGCTGACCAGTTTATCTTGGCGTAATCCTCAGGGAATACTTCTTTCCTCAGTGATCGAATCACATCAGTCTCTTCACAGCTCCATCGTTTCGAGTATAGCCAGCCCATCGGCAAGAATACCATTCGAATGTGAATCCACCATCTCCATGGCGCGAAAGGAACCCAATCAGGAAGCAGCCAAAACTCTGGTGGCACAGGGTTGACGATATCCCAGCTCATGAGTCCCAAAACAGCCATCCAGAACTTGGCCCAGTGTGGCGCATACAATGCTCCTCCCATCGTGTGTAGGGTTCCTCTGGCCTTGACCAGAACTGGGTCCTCAGGGTCGACGCCGAGAAGTCGGAGGGCCACATAATTCATCAATGTTCCGAAGACGCTGCTCTCGCCTTCAATATGGAGACCCCAGCCACCGTCCACTGGATGTGCTCGTGCGGATAAGTATTTGTAGATCGCGGTTGCTTTGGCGGAGGAAACTGGCGTCCTGGTGACATACCAGGTCATGACGATACCAGGGAGGAGGAACATGGGACCGCCATATTCGCAACCCCAATGCCCGCTGGGAAGTTGTAGCTTTTCGAAAAAGTCGAGACCGTTCTCCGCTGCTGCTAATGGGTTGTCAGGGGTGGGAAGGTCAGGAAGATCCTGTGTCCAATATGTTAGTTTGCGATTGATTGGGGATCGGGCAAAGAACATACCAGAGGCAGATTCAGGTACCATTTCTCAGCATAACTCTGTGGCCACTCCTTCACATCATCGTCATTCTCAAGGTAGTGCCACGTGTGACGGCTATCGTCGTCCTTGAGCCTCCATCTTGTCGTGTCCAACTGTGAGCTGATGCGAGGCTGTTTGGGGAATGGCTGACCCTGTTTCAACAGCGGTTCCGATTCGGAGTCAGCAGCGCGCTTACGCGACTTTAGCGCGCTACCCTCACGCCCAGTAGAATTTGCGACCATGTTTGGGTGAGTTTGATGGTCTCAACGACAGGATTCGTGGGCCAATTCAGAGAAGAGCAGTGGAGTGATCGTGGATTGATGAGCAGCACATGCTTTAAAACTAAACTATAACACGGGGGCGGATTGAATTACCAGCCCGTTGTACGCCCCGATGTACGGGAGGGCCCGCCGTCTTCTGGTGGCACCTGCAGCATATCATATCCCCCATGTCTAGCGGTCAAGCCCCTGAAAATCAATTAACTCTCGGGATTGGACAATCTTGAAAACCTCCACAGAACAGCATCTCGCATTGCAACTCTACTGCGTATTCGGACACGATCTTGAACTTTACTTACGAATATCATCAAAGTTCTAAGCTTGTTTTAACAACCGCCAAGAAACCATGGACGAAGAGGCAGAAACTCCTCAATCAATTGCTACACCAGAACTAACACAGAGATCCCAAGCTAATCCCACATCATCAGCGACAGCGAACGAGAATACTGATACGAATACGATAATCAACAACCCCAACGTTGGAACGGTTGTCACTCGCATTGAGGACATTCTTGCTCGAATCATCGGCGCTTTAGCTGCGGGACAGGTGCTATCAATTCCATTTTCTCCACGAAGGTCAACACGTCGTGCCGCAAATCCACAGTCCGAACAGGTTCGCTTCCCTGGTCGTAATCAGCAGGAAGCAGTCAAGTTTGGTCAGATTTCGGCAGAATTGTCTCTGGCAATTTGACTAACAAGTCGCAGCGCGCATTCTTCTCATTCTTCAATTATCACATGATGCCCTTGTCTCTGGCACTCTCCTAACCAAGCGGTTAGTTCATTGGCCCCAGATGTAAGAGGCTTACTAATGGGCTCATATGCAGCCACATATTTTACCAACACCAGCACCTCTTTGAGAAGCAAGGCCAAGTGGATGACCTCGTTGATGGCATTGCTTTCAATCTTGGTATCGGTCGCGGGGACTTGAACATTGTGCGTCTTGTTAAGCGCCCACCGTACTTCAACTAACTAGAACAGGTCGCAGCGTCAAAGGGTGCCTTGGCTGGACCTTTGCTAATCCGCTTCCGCGATGGGAGTACACTGAACCCTTGTTCGGGAGAGCTGGTAAGACTTTTTAGGTATGGCTCTGCTTGATTCTGAGTGATGTAGGGAGTTGCTATCCCGACTGTGCAGTCAGTCTCAAGCATCGATGTTCAAAACGTCAAATGGATTCTTGTTGTTGAGAAAGATGTAAGAGGACAAAGTCTTCGTCGCCCCAGCGAAGCTGACTCCCTCAGGCCGTTTTCCGATCTCTCTGCTCGTCCCAATTTTGGAGAACCTGCATCTTCGGTCCTGGCGTGCTTGTCACAGTATGTTTGGACAATGTGAAACGCGGAACCCGAAGTTAACTTGAGTAGGCCAAAGGCTATCCTGACTTGACTACGCGCTCGTTTCTGAACTATGTTCATACACAGTACCCCCAACTGCCGCTCCTGGGTCTGTTTGACTACGATCCCGATGGCGTCAAGATCTTGCGATGCTACCGACACGGATCCGAAAGACTGAGCCACGAAGCTGATCTCGGTGTAGAGGGATTGCGGTGGCTAGGTATCAGATCAGTGCATCTCTTCCGAGGTCATGCTAGCGCCTACTACGGGCAGCCAAGCCATGTGTCTATGACATCAATTCAGTGCCGCGATCCTGTCACCTATCTGAATGGCAGAGAGCGGGCTGCAGCTGTTTCAGCACTCAAGAAGACCAGCCTGCACTCACCAAATGAGCTCGAAGGCTCAGAACTACGACTCGAGTTGCAATTGATGATGATGCTTGGTGTCAAAGCAGAAATTGAGTGGCTCGATGAATCTGGGGACTTGTGTTCATGGCTTGACGGTGAAATTGGAGAAGCACTGATTAGCGAAACAATCTGACTTACAGGGCTATTTGGAAGGGAATATGCTATAATCTCTGATGAGAGAGTATATGATGAAGGGTAAAAAGGAAAATGATTCATGTAACGAAGCGCCTGAGCTAGCTCGTGTTTTCCTCATCTTTTCCATGAAATCAAGAATGAAAATTGGACTTGACTACCCTGCACTGATCTACACCCCACACGGTGCGAAAATAGCGGGGTATCTAACCACACAGTCCCCTCATCTTCATAAAATTTTATATTCTTGACATGAAAACATCACCAAGCGCATCATCATGGCACCCAAACTTACGGAAGAAGAGATCGATGATCTTATCTACTTTGCGCGCGCAGGAGAACAAGAGGATCTGACTGAGACTATTAAGAGCCTGGCGGAGCGAGAAAATGTCAGCCCTGCTGAGATTGTAGCGGCTGCTCAAGATGCTTCCAACAAGTCAACATGTTTACACATGGCTACAGGAAATGGTCACCTAGGTATGTCTAATCCTGAATCAATGATGTTTTGGGAGGCCTAAGCCCCATTTCGGAATCCAACTGTAAAACAATATGAGGCTGACATCTTATAGAAATTGTCAAGCAACTCATCCAATATTTCGATACCCAACCAAAGGAGCAGAAGCAGGCATTTCTAGACGAGGCAAACGAGGCCGGAAACACAGGTCTTCACTGGGCAGCACTAGGTGGTCACCTCGATGTCATCAAGCTGCTCCTGGAGCAAGGTGCTTCCCCCGCGCTGGCAAACGAGCAGAACTACGTTCCTCTCGATCTGGCGTACTTCAACCACAAGAACGATGTTGCCGAGTACTTCCTGTCAACCGCTAAGAAGCTTGAGGAGAAGAACCAAGAAGAGGGTGGTCTGAGCGCTGCTGTTGGGTCAGTTGAGATCGAGGAGGGAGATGAGAAGGCTGAGGAGAAGAAGGAGACTTCATAGGGAGGTCAGCCAAAATGAAAATTGGATTGGGAGGAATGGATCTTGATAGAGGATTCTTGTGATGCTGGAAGCTTCGGAAACGGATAGGGAGTTTGGGACTATATGAGAATAACGAAAATACATTTTGAACGAAAACTGCAATCCTTGGTAAATTTGATTTGAGTTGGATTCGCGAGTCTGAAAAATGTGACAGCAAAGATTCAGTTACACAAGCCGTGACAGACTTTCTTGGATAATATATGTTCCTGGAGGCTTTTGTAGAGGACAACTATATACTTCATTATCTCTATTAGATCTTAAGGATTACTCTATAGATGCTTTGCAACAATCGAATGATGGTAAGATGATGTCTAACGTATCAGTAACGGAAAGGAAGGTGTTCAAGTGTGTTGTATATTGAAGACATGTGCTATGTGAAAGATATATGTATATATAATAAGAAAACCACCATCCTCTCGTTACTTGCCTCCAACCTTTATATATAGTAATATGAAACTCTGAGCACTAAGCCCTTGGTCGACTCGCCCGTGTCCTATATACCAAACCATCATTCTTTTCCGCTGATAGGACATTTCGTTTGCGGCATGCTGGAGTGTCATTCTTTCCAGGCGGCGTATAGTATGTTTTGGTGGGTTGTTTCGAAGTCAGGCATGCGTTGCTGAGATATCATGGGCTTCTCAAACAAATCAGCGAAGAGCAGAAATAGACAAGTCAAGCTCTTTATGATGCCTCTTGCAGAGCGGAGTAACTTCATCCATGACCTGAAGCCCACATCCAGTTCTACTGCAAGTATGTCGAGGGCAGTATATGGAGTGCTGGGGACTATTCCTTTTAGTAGAAACATCCATGAGGCAATCGAACTCATGGGCAGAGCAAGTATGTTTCCTACAGAACATTCCTTTAACGCCAGCATGAGAAACATGAACCTCTTTCCGGCAGGATCCTGAAGAACAAGTATCGTTCGGTCGATATTCGCTTCTAACATAATTCAACCTTCGCCTCCTGTTACTGACAGCAATCTCGCCACAACGCCTGAGCATGCCGTCAAGATCCCTTTCGGTTCTGCCAACTACAGAAGTCGTTTCAACGAACACCTTATCCTCCTCCTCAAGTTTCTTGGCCTTTTTATTGGTACATGTCTCGCAGTCACCTCCAATCTTCACAATGATGTACTCCCTTTCGATAGGGGAACCCGGTGGACTCGTATCGGATCCTGGCTTCAAAGCTAATGTATCTTCTATCAAACAGGCGTGTCTGTCATGGCAAGGGATGGATGCACCCTGTGCATTCTCCAGGTAATGGGGTTCGCCATCGGTAGAGCAATCATACTGAAGCTTAAGAAGACGACACATGCTGAAATGTTTTCGAGCGAGTCTTTGACGATGGATGTTTGCTGTTGGGATTTGTGGCTGAGAGCTTAAGTCAACACGGGGTACTTAGCGAGACGTTCCGTTTTCCTTGTTTTGGGGTTTGTCTCTGTGATTTTGGCCGCTGCAATTGGTGAAGCAGGAAGTGTAGGTTAATGGAGATCAAGAATACTAAATGGGTTTATTACTGGGACTGAATGATAATCCATGGGCTGGGGGGTGCATTATATATGAGTTTCGAAAGTACTTGCTGTACTAACAGAACGAATGAGTTGTCCAATATCAAGTTGATGTAAGTGTTCTTCCAGGAAGAAATACACTAACACCGGATCCTCCGAACAAAGACATAATAGGCCAAACAATTAGGGAGCTCGACTGTAACTTGTTTGTTCAGTATAGACTATTCTACCAGTTCAGCCCATGAACTCAGTGCTAACAACTTTGAAAAGATTTGAACATCGAAAAGGCTCCCCAGTACCCAATAATCTTGTAACACATTCAAAGTTCTCCGCGGTAGTCTATGATGTAACTCTGGGGACTGTTGACTCAAAGTCCGTCTAGAACACTCCTATTAGAAAACACACCCTTGAAACCCCAGCATTTTCTAAGTTATTAGAATTACACATGCATGTACAGTTAACCAAGCCCAAGCTCTTCTGCTTCAAGACCTAGATCTGCTTTTCTAGTGACTCTGCCACTAGGGAAAGTGTTTCTCCAACGACATGCACGATCTCATAGACCTGTATGCCTTTGCAAGTTTCAGCCCAAAGCTTCACTGCTGCGATAGCCAAACGTCTTATCCTGCCAGGAAAATCAGATTTGGGCCCCAGCGAAGCCTCTAGGTGAGTTTCCTCGACTAGACGGTCGACCATAGAAAGCAGGCGCTTTTCCTCCTCTCTGAGAGCTGATGCCCCATCCGACAGAACTAGCTGATAAATATTTTCAAGCCAGTGGGTAAGTAGAAGGGCGCATCCAAAGTGACTGATAGCATGCTGGACACTCCAATGACCTGTACGGCCACGTGCCACGAACGCAATGCCGACTCTCACAGGGATTCTTAAAGCGTAGATAGCATGAAGAACAGCTTGATCAAGGTGCGGAGCACGCAGAGGTAATGGATTCCGATACGGTTCGAACACTTGAGCTTTGACGATAGGATCTCGAGATAGCAACTCGCATTGACTGTACAGGCCAAACCCAAGATGAATATGAGCTAGTCGGAGCATAGCAGTCGAGTTGAAAGGTAGTGGCGAGTTTCTAGAGGAGGGATCGGGCGCAGATTCGATAGCAGAGTCCCAGCAAGATTGCCAGGCACCGAGTGCAGCAGCATAAGTCGCAATGGTACTCTCCGACAGACTTGGCGATGAAGACAACAGTGCAGACGACACTTGACGCTCAAAGTAGATCTGTATCAGCAAACTCTGGATAAGCATATAATTGCCAAACTCTGTTGCAGAGACCTCCTGGGCGAGTGGTTCTCCGGACAGTAATTGCTTAAAGCATGACTGGAAGTTGAGCTTGCGTGGGTCGACCTTTCGTCGTACACGATTCCATGTTTCCGAGTCCGGTGCGTTGAACTCAGCTTCGGAGCAAGGAAGTTCGAAGCTAAACTCTGTAGCTGTCATCTGAGGCGGTACATTGAAGCAGATGGTTTGAATATTTAATGTGAAATATGCCGAGAGAAGGGTGCGTCGCCTTTCTTCATCGCGGCCCCAATTCTCCCATGTATCATTGTGATGTTTCTCGGGTAGACGTTTCAAGATGTCGCGTGTGAGCGTAGTTAACTGGCTACTCATAGCGAGTGCTTCCTCTGCAAGTGGTCCGTCCAGCCATGACATAGTCATCACGGCAATTAGCAAGGATTGTAATAGCTCAATGTCGAATTTGGTTAGAACCGCAGCGTGATTTGTTGGCGGATCGTAAACTTCTGTGGAGCTTGTAGGGAGAGCTGCAAAACGAGGAAAGCCGTTGAGAATATGGCGATTTGACGCACGGCGTCTCTCCTCTAGCTCATGGTTAATCATAGTTTTGGCCACGAAGTACATGGCGTACCCCTGCGGGTGCTCAAATCCATAGAACGATCCTGTGGCTGCCAGCGTCAAGAGAAGTACAGGTGACATGGATTCTAGGTTGGTAGTCGGAAGGTGGACGAATGGTAAATGCGGATGAAAGCCTCGTATCCAGCTTGCGATATATCGAGATAACGCATGTCTGCTGGGAAGTGTGAATGACTGGGGTATGTCTGACCTGTGCTTCAAGAACTCTACGGAAAGCCTTTCATGAGCAGCAACCGATACAGCCCAGGGGTTTGTTGCTACAATATCTTCTGTAGTATCCAGCAACCGATCAATCTTGTTTCGAGCTGGAGCTGCTTGAGCTTGTCGTTTCTGGCAGAAAGGTAGAATCGACGTTGGGGCGCTGCTCGATTCTATATGCCCAGGTGCCTCAAGATGTAAATGGCTTGAGGGAGCAGGGGCAAGAGCTGGTTCTGGAATAAACGATTGAGTAAAGAAGTTTGCTGTATCTGGTGTGAATTCTTGATGTGAGTCTTCAGGGGGGAGGACCTCCCCGAGATAACTGTTGATCATGTCCATCTCATCAGGGAACATATCTGCGTTGAACGACTCGAATTGCGTGAAGTCAAGACTATCCAAAGCTCCCGCTGGGGTTAAATTGCTGTTGTGGATGGGATCTTTTGGTGGCTCAAAGATATGACTTGGTGTCTGCTCTTGATAACCGAGTGGCCGATCATGAATTGAAAATCGGCTCATCATATCTTGCTGCGAAGACATGGCTTGGGGAGAGACTGCCATAGACATTAAATTAGAGGAACTTCCTTGAGACTGTAGCTGGTTGTTGTGATGATTGTTCTCATCGCTAGCTTGTGAGATTGAGGGTGAAGTTGTCACAGCCCCGTCAGGCGATATTGCCAGGTTTGATTCCGCTTGTTTCCCTGAGCCATTGGTAGAGCATTGAGAAAGTCTTCGATGACGATTCAGTAGATCTCTATGACTTGTTTAGCTTTGTCGCTAGCGTAAGGTAGATGTTAATATGTCAACTCACTGTCTTGTAAATGTTCGGCCGCAAGGGCACCCATATGGCCTTTCACGTGTATCTTGTGGAATGATCAGCCTCATTTCAACAGCGGTATCCAGTAGAGTGACCCACGTGTACGTATATGCCTTTCAAGGTGTTCCTGTCTCTTGAACTCCTTGTTGCAGAACCTGCAAAGAGGTATAGGCAGCCGAGGTCTGCCTTTCATGGTGTAAAGTGGGACGTTTAGTCCGTGATATCATCGGTGCTGTAGACTGAACTGCATTATTGAATGCAGAAGTGGCGACTTGAGCTAAGTCTGGTGGGAAGGAAAATGAACATTGGTCAATTTGAACATCTCTGCATCTTCATACCAACCAGGACAGACAGGGAGTGTTCGTGGAGCGTAGTCGATAACTGACAGAAGAACTGGGGTTCGTCCCAGGACCCTCCAAGACCGGCCCGGTCGAGTGGAACCACGTGACGGTATCACCGCTGAACCGGGAACCATGACCGCTAAGGTCCAGCCCAGCTAGCGACCTTCAGTGACTCCCCGATCGTCCAGATAGAGGCACCTTAGTCAAAGTTTAATCTCAAGATTACTCAACCTCCTTACATGAAGCGATAGTCCGACATTCGTTCCCTTTCCAATTGTTGTCTCAATTTAGTGTACACTATGATCTACTCTTGTCTTCTCCGGGCCTTTATAACGACTGTTCCCGGGCTTACAACACTTCCCGGCGGCTGAGCAACCTTGACTACTTCAGCGCCGACCTGATCTTCACCAACAACCAAATTGATCTCCATCTTCATGGCTTCAAGAACCGCTACGGTCTGTCCTGCCTCCAGGATATCACCCGGCTTGACGAGAACTTTCCAGACATTCGCATTTACAGGTGACTCAATCACAGCAATCTCGTCCGAGTCAATGTCGCCATCCTCATCTACACCACCACTAGACTGTTTTGAGATGGTCCATTCGTCGAACAGCCTCTGCTCAAGTGCAGCCAGCTCATCGGCTGCCTTTGATTGGCGCTCTCGCCATGCTTCATACTCTGGATCCTTCTCTGCTGCATCAAACTTGGCGATGTACTGATCCATATCGATAGCTGTTTCGCTAATGTCAAAGGTATACTGACCAGCCTCGAAATCTCGCTCCATCTTGTTGTATTCTTGCTCAGTCACCTCATAGAAGCTGACCAGATCCAAGTGGTTGAAGAGCCAAGGCTTCTGGGGAGAGAAGCCAGGCCTGTTACCTGTCGAATCCCAGCCACCAAGGGTTCGGCCCATGAGTTGGTATCCTCCTGGTGCAGCCACGGGATATATGGCGACTGTAGACCCTCCCAATCCCACCGAACCACTGGGCGTATATCCTCTGCTGGGGTTATACTTCTGACCTGTCAACACCCGCCATGGGTCGAGAGGGAACAGGATGGGCGTTCCGACGAAGAAGCCAACGGCAACAGTCAACCACGGTGTTTTGAGAAGAGAGTCCAATACATCTCGGCGCGTCGCCAGAGCATTGTTCTTACGGAGATATTCGACATTATCCGGGAGATATGCAGCTGTCGGTCTTATGTTCTCCATATACCGTTGCGCTGACTCCTCGAGTGAAGAATGGTCGAGGCAGACAGGCAGCCTTATTTGTCGAGCAGGAATTTTCACCCCGCTAGTATCGCCAATGTTCGAATCAAAAGTCAGAAGCTGTTGGAGAAGCTCAGTGCGATCGATATGGACTGGATCAAAGCGTACAGTGAGGGTGGAAATGTTAGGATCGCCTCGCACACTGGGCAGTTTCGCAGCCGCCAGCTGCTGAGTGAGCAGTTGGACACAGACTGTGTTTCGCAAGTCCGAAGTCTGGTTGCCATACTGAACGATTATACTGGTATCACCCCCTTGACGATATATCACCTGGGGATGGACGCCCCTTGCGTGTGACTGATGCAGAATGGAGGATGGGGCCTTAGCGGCAATGGCCGTTTGGAGAGCACTTACATACCCAGACTTTCCATCAGCGAAGGCTGCCAGAGCTGCAAGATAGGAGTTTTTCTCATGAGTGATCTTCAGAGCATCCTCGTATGATACAGATTGCAGCCGAACGGTGTCGCCGGGTTTGAGTTGACCAAGCTTCCACATCTCTCCAGAGCATATTGTCGTTGGGCAGACAAAACCACCAAGATCAGGCCGGTCATTAGCAAATATGATGGGAGACTCTCCAGTAAAGTTGACACCGCCGTTGGGATACCCGTACTCGAACACATTTGATGGATGTGATCCCCCACCTCCTCCAGATGTTCGAGCCCACTTCAATCGCGGTCCTTCCAAGCGTATACCACTTCGGCCACTGTTATGACTGACACTCCATTCCCCTTCATACAGTGTCTTCGATCCCTCCTCTGTCAGAATATCATCAGAACCGTACGGCCCGTCGATACAACAGATAGTGGTGCTTCCGAATTTGGGTACATGATGGGACGAAAGGGTGACCGTTGTCGCTTTAGCTGCTTGAGCTTTGGAATCAGGGCTTAGGGCGAGGATATCGTGTGTCTGAAGTTTTCGACCTTGGTAGCCCCCGAAGCCAAGCTCTGGGGCGGTTGACTTGGAGCCGAGGAACGCTGGGACGTCTGGGAAGCCACCTCTAACAGCGAGGTATGCTCGCGCACCACTTCCAGTGACTTTGCCTAGACTCAAAGTCTGACCTTGTTTGATCACAAGTCTGGACCACAGCGGCTGTGGGCTGCCATCAACCGCAATGGGAAGCTCGGCACCACAAACACTGACAATCGCAGCCTCATGAAACAGCAACTTGGGACCAGATAGGGTAACCTCCAATAACTCAACCCCTTCATCGTTGCCGACCAGAATGTTTGCTATCCGAGCACTAAGATCATCCATGGGCCCTCCTGGGGGTACGCCGTGTCCAACAGAGACGCGACCGGGATAATCTTGGATCGTGGTGGATACACCAGGCTCAAGCACTTGCACAGAGCAACTCTTGAAGTGAAAAGTTGATAGCGAATTGGTCAGAGTGTTTCCACTTTCGAATAACTCCGAGTCGAGAATTGCAGAGAGGTACTCCAGGTTAGACTGAGTCCCCTGGAGTTTCGTATCCGCCAGAACTGAGAGCATCTTGCGTCGCGCAGCTTCTCGACCATCGGGGCTGTGGACCATAACTTTACCAATTAACGGGTCGTAGAGGGGAGTGATGCGCTGGCCGCTTTGGACCCAAGTGTCGACTCGCACACCATCGCCTTGCGGCCAATGGACGTGTTGGAGAACACCAGGACTGGGTGCGAAGTTGCAGAGTGGTATCTCGGCATAAACACGAACTTCGATCGCTGAGCCAAGAGGCTGCGGTCTGCCGAGTCCCTTAAGAGTCTCAGAGGGGATGCCAAGTTGGCCTTGAAGTTCGTAATCTGCTTGTCTTAACATCAACTCGACTAAGTCAACTCCGTAGCACAGCTCAGAGATACCGTGCTCCACTTGTAATCGAGTGTTCATCTCGAGAAAGAAGAACTGTGCAGTGTCGTCGTCAACAAGAAACTCAACTGTGCCAACGCTCTTGTACTTCAGCTGCAGTGCGTAGTTGATGGCTGAGTCGAGCATTCTTTCACGTAATCCGGCATGACGTTCCAAGAATGGACTTGGAGACTCCTCGACCACTTTCTGATGGCGTCTTTGTAGCGAGCACTCGCGTTCTCCGAAAGCGACAACAATCTCACCGTTGCCTGCAACCTGGACTTCGATATGACGAGAACGAGGGTAGTACTTCTCCAAGAATACTCCTTTGTTCTTGAAGAGAGTACCAGCGCGACTCTCGACCATAGCAAAAGCTTTCGCAATCTCATCTGCTGAATTGCAGATCTGAAGACCCATGCCACCGCCGCCTCCAGTGGCTTTCAGCATCACCGGGAAACCCAACTCTGTCGCCGCTTTTGTAGCTTCTTCAGCAGACGCTAAGAGTTGAGTGCCAGGGATGACTGGGACATTGGCAGATTGTGCGATACCTCTGGCTTCGTGCTTTAGGCCCATGGCTCTTATTGAAGCCGTGGAGGGGCCAGCGAAGACGATACCAGCAGAGGAAATTGTGTCAGCGAACTCTGCGTTTTCACTGAGAAAGCCATATCCGGGAAACACGACATTTGCACCTGTGCGCTTGCAAATGTCCAATATGGCATCCCTATAAGCCATTAATGATTAGATGCTGTGATTGGAGAGATGTATCCTCTGTACTTACCCATCTGTATAAGCCGAGCTATCCTCGCCCGGTAAAAGGATTGCTTCGTCTGCCAACTTCACATGCAGAGAAGTTGCATCTGCGTTGGTAAACACTGAGACAACATGAAGTCCGAGTTTTCGGCAGGCATTTATACAGCGAACAGCAATCTCGCCGCGATTCGCTATTAGCACCTTGCGAATGTGCTGTAGTGGGTGTAAGTCGAGTGAACCCATGACTGCAACCGTCGCCAATGGGCGTTCAACAAAAGAACAAGGTATGATAAGACAGATGTGAGAAGAAAGATAACTTTTGGGTAAATTTCTGAACGATTGGACTTATTATGAACTGATCAAAACATGAAATGAACGTATGAGTCGATGAGCAGCAGCTTGGAGGTGTTATCAAAACTGGGGATAGCCTCTCCACCTCCAGGCCAAGATGCGCTATCTGGATAGCTTATCTACCCCAACGCGGGGTGATCGAAAGAGGTAAGAATTCGGGCACACGGGATTTGTGTTCCTATTATGGCAAGCCATTGGGGTAGAAATTGGGACGTGTAACAGGATGCCCATGTCAGTGAGCTCATCGAGGCCACAAGGGATACGGATGTACAATGTTGCGATGATCCGTACCTAGAGGCTGTTACGGAAACATTTGGTAGAAGGCTCAAGTTTTGGAGCTGAACGATGCTAAAATAACGTACAGTCACAGACACGGTCAAGTAACTATTGAAGGCCAAATGGGGAGAATCATGCCAGTATTTACATGGTACTTTCAGTAATCGCTAGTCCACATCAGGCTTCAAGGTTAACAATTGCGATCGTGGTGTACGGCGCTCAATTAAAAGTGTAATGACTTGATTCAGACTATCTAACTTAGAAGTAAGAGACTGCTTGGCCGAACGACACTAAATATCTATCTTCCGCCATTGAAGCTTAGTACTTGCGGGACGCAAGATCAATGAGCAGTCGCGCCGTAATGCTCAATGAGATTCCAATAAGAGTGCGCAGTCCATCTTCTCAGAGGCTTGCCAACATAGATCATCATGATCGCAGTGCACCAGACAGCCTCTCCCAACACGGCGATGAGAATAAAGGCATTGCGAAGTCCAAGGTTCTCGATCATTGGAACCACGGCATACCCAAACGCGAAGCCTGGATAGTGTTATTAATGAAGAAAAGACCTAGTGAATGAAGTGTGTACATACCCATCATGTTGCGAATCAGGATGGTCGATACAAGACCTTCGCCGGCGACCTCCTTGTAAGTGTCAAGGATGTAAGTGAAAGCGAGATTGGAGCCCATGGGAAGAGTCACGCAGATCAACCCGAGACCAAAGACAACTCCAAACCAGTGGATATGATATGAAGCGCCGACACCATACAAGAGACAGCCTGCAGGATGCATTACAAGCGCGATAAGACAAGTCCAGAGACGCTGCTCGGGTTCCATGACACCTCCATTTCGACGGGCCAGGAACAAGGCCAAGAAATCTGACATCCAGCCTGAAAGGAAGCATCCGATAGTGACACCGACGACAGAAGCAAGGTACGTGAGTCCAATGTTGTTGGCGCTAAAGTTGTAAGGAGGATTTCCCAGGATCAGAGCTAGAGAGCCTCCAACGACGTTGTACCAGGCAAGAATTCCACCGACGAGAAGACCACCAAAGCCGATACCGGGAAACGAAAACAGCAGGCGGATTGGGAGGAAGAAGAGCTTGAAGGTGCTAGGCTGCCGCGAGTCGTGATAACCCCAGACCTTGAGCTTCCCCAAATAGGTCTTTTCGCTTCCACCTGATGTATACGCCGTGGCTTCCATAGATCTTGATGTGGACTTCTCGTCCTGGACTGAAGGGTTTTGCTTCTCAGACGGAGTTTCGATATCTTTTCCGACTGTAGCAGAGGCTTTGATGGTAGCTGGGTCGAGTGCAGCTGTATCAGACAGGTTTCCGACGTCGTGATGGCGGTAGAACATTGTCTCTTCAAAGAAGAAGAAGGTGATGATAGCGACACTTCCTCCGATGATGGCGAGAATATACTGGATCCATCGCCAGCCGAGCTCCTGGGCAACATAGCCAGATGCGACAGGTGCAAGGAACGCGCCGCACCATAGAGTCCAGCTATAGGCACCCATGTAAAAGCCTCTGTCATGCGCGAAGAAGATGTCTCCAATGATGACTTCGATAAGAGTCTCTTGGGGTGAAGCACAGATACCAAGCAGGACTCGGTTTGTGAAGAACTCTCCTCTTGACTTGACAAAGGCGGTCCAGAGAGTGACCCCAGTGGTGAGAATGACAGAAACAATAAGAGTGAGGCGTCGACCATATGCAAGAGCAACGCATTGCGTGATCATCGTTCCCCAACCAAGGAAGAGAAACAGAATTCCATTGCCAGTACTCAGATCAGCGATCGAAATACCAGTGTCTTCCTCGATCAAGATGTATGCTGGGGACAGACCAGAAATCATAGCAGCCACGAAGAAGCACCATACCATGGCGCAGATGATATTCCTTGTCTTTCGAGGGATACTCCAGCGAAGAGGATCGTCGGGGTCGTCAGTGGGCTGCGGAACGAGAACGATGTCGCGTGACTGTTGGCCATGCTTCACGTTGAAGATGCCTTGGACATCGACGAGCTGGACAGTTCCAGGAATGGCGACTCCAGAAGTCATTGCACCGGTATTTGATCACGAAATAAATATCAACAAGACAATAATCAGAATTGTGTGGATTTCGAAAAGAAAAGTACTAAAGACTACACCTTGTCTTAAATCATCACTTCAATGCAGATCATCGAGACATCTATATGATTTATACTACCTTATTATCACTTACTCGACGAAGTGGCTTGCGATAGGTAATCTAGACAACCTATTTCTACCCCAACCTTTCGACTCTTATCGCGCGACCCTTGATATGAGGGACAGGGGGAGCTAGGAGCTAAGCTACTATCCCCGCATTGATAGCTCGTCATGTGTGACCAGGACCGGCATTGTTTGAGGGCAGATTGAGTGGTCTGGACTTCTGGACATCTTATTAACCTTCTTAGCGAGGAACGAGTCAAGTTCTCGCTTGGAGGTGTGTCAGACTGCCACGTTGTCGGTACGTCTCCCGATCTGATGTTGAAGCACAGTAAGTGTTCAAGTCAGGATAGTCGAATGGTAAAGTATTTTGAGTAAATACCGAAAGTCATCAGGTTTCCAAAATTATGTGAATTTACTTTGTCACATAGCTTTCAATTTCTATAGAAACTGCGTTTCTTTCTACATTCATCCTGTTAGGATAACGTCTACAATCTATGACCATTGGTATTCTGCGAAGAAAACTTCTTTCGATTCGCTTCATCCACTGCCTGTCGAACCAGCTTCGCATTCTCCAGCACAGTCGGCGAATCAGAATGTAGGCATATACTGAACGGCTTCCCCTTGAATCCAAAGTTGAATGGATCCCCGTTGATATCCTTCCCTGTATCCTTCATGGCCGCACCAAAAGCCCTCTCATGACATATCTCCGGTGTCACAGGATGAGATTGCGCAAAGGGAACAAGTTTTCCCTCTGGTGAGTAGTCGATATCAACGTAGACCTCTCCCTGAAACGGAACGCCCATCTCATTACACATGGCCTCCTGTTCCGGGTTCTGGCAGGCGTATACAGGAACTTTGAAAGTTGCACAAGCTTCTAGTACAGCTCTCATTATGCCCTTGTCTCTTTGCATGTAGAAGAAGAGTTCCCCGTGAGGTTTTATGTGAGACAGCTCAACACCTTCGGCATCCAGCATTGCTTTTAGGGCTCCAACTTGATACAAGACCATTGCATACATGTCCTTGGGGTCGATTTCCATTTTTCGGCGTCCAAAGCCAAAGAGGTCTTGTAAGCCAGGATGGGCACCAGCTTTGACGCCATGTTGCTTGCAGAGACGAATTGTCTTTAGCATGATGGATGGATCACCAGCGTGAAAGCCACATGCAATATTTGCTGCATCTATGAGAGGCATGAGATCCTCATCTGGGCCCTATTAAAAAATATTTTAGTAACTGGTAACAAACAATGTCTTTCAGAGATCTTACCATTTTCCATCGGCCGAAGCCTTCTCCCATATCAGCGTTGATCTCATATCTTTGCGCTAAACCAGTCATGATGCAAGATTTCTGATAGAATGAAAAATGATTCGACTTCGAGATAGGTCAACACTCGTGCTCAAGTCATGATTCGATGAGGAATTTGTGTTCATTATCTCTCCAACACACGTGATGCCTCCCCCGTTCAGTTTGTCTTGTTACAATATGACGTTACTGATCGCTGAACCCCATGTAACATTGGAGAAGTTAATCATGATTGAGGGATGACAGTTGGGGTAGAAAATGATCGTTTTGGGAAGATTGGGGTAGTAAGTCTGATAAGCGGTTGGACCTTATCATAGCCCTGTCTGTATACAACCGCCGCATTTACTCATATCTTGATTGGATACCCTGAAGCACTCCATATTTGATATTACAGTAACTCGAAGGATGGATCGATTGTTGTGATTTCGTTGGGAGTTCTGCAAGCCTTGGTGACCTTCTTTGAAGAGAAAAACGAACTCCATTCAACTTCAGAACCGTGACTCTTTTCTCTTTCCGGTTCCCATTTTTCGCCCATCAAGTTGCATCCTGGTCTTCTTCTACGGACCGTACTTTTGTTGATCAAAAGGCCGAAGCATGCAGGAAATGACCAAGCTGCCGACAGATGACGGCGTGGCTAAAGCCGAGGGCTGTTTGAGATAACATTTCAGTTATATCAAAGCCACGTCATGCAAAGTTGAGTTGAAGCAATAATCGTTTTTACTATTTAACATTGGGTTCCTTTCGAGTGATGAAGTTGGCTCTGGCGTGCTTCTTAGACATGTGGCAATAAACAGAATGGTCATGGAAATGTGACGTGTTGAAAAATTAAACTAATGCTGAGTAGATGTGAGTTATCCTCAAGCTGGCTTCTTGTGATATGGACTCGTCTGTCGCGTGTTCTGACAGACTGATGTAAGAGCCCATCAGGGTTCTCACCTACCAACCCTTTTGGCGTCGCTAAACCAAGACACCGAGCCTTTTGCTCGCAAAACCTCATCTTCGACTTTTTTGAGCATCGTGAAGCTTGAATTGAATATAATATATATCTCAGCATATCCATTATTAAGCCTCTTATCAGAATGGAGCACGAACCCGTGGAGGATATCCCCCATTGTCACCACCATCACCACCATCTGCAGTACCATACTCATCATCATCATCATCACCATGGTCCAGCTCACGATGTCCCGAGGTCAATGGGGGAACAGAACAAGGCTCATTACAAGTATGGCTCTTTCAATATACTACGCCTCTGGCAAGAACTAACTCATGCCAGCAATACTGCCCCGGCGCTCTTTCGATGGCCCTGGATTATTGAGCTGTGCAATCAAATATCAAAAGAGCTACGCGCGAACATAGACTGGATCGGTATCAAGCCACCATCTTCAAGACCGACAAAACTGTTAGATTACGCCTGTGGTGATGGCGTAGCGTCTCGGGTAACATACTACGCCGTTTACTCTTGGACTTTATACTGACTATTAACAGGCACTTGCACCATTCATGTCTACAGTGAGAGGCATGGACATAGCGTCAGGAATGGTAGAGCAGTATAACAAACTGGCACTGAAAGCAGGCTATACCTCGACAAAAATGCGAGCTGTTCAGGCCGATCTTATCGATCCCGAGTTGACGCCGTCTCCGGAGATTGACACGCCAGGATTCTTTGATTTTGACGTGGTAGTCATGTGTATGGCCCTTCATCATATCGAAGAGCCGGATAACATGATATTGCAGCTCTCAAAACGCCTGAGGCCAGGAGGAATCTTACTTATCATTGACTGGGTTGTAAGCTCGGCGGGCAGTAGTGTTCAGACCGAAAATCGAACGTTAGGAGCGATTGGTAGGATGGGGTTTCATGAGAATGAAGTAAAAAGCTCGTATGATAACGCTGGACTTGAAGATTGGGCGTGGAAATTGACCTCGGCGCCGTCTCAAGTACCAAGAGAGATTGGTGGTGAGCAGCAATTGTTTCTTGCTCGGGGGAGGAAGCCGCTTAGTTAGCAACTCAGCATAGGTATACTATAAACCTGATTTGATTTTGCTGATTACTAGATATAGAATCAGTAGTTGTCATCTCCCCATGACAACATGAATTTCATGCCATAAAGGTGATATTGCCAAGTTTCCCAAGGAGTCTCTGGAGAGGTAGTCTAGACACGTTGCTATAAGCTTCATGCGTCGGGTCATCTATTCGTACCGGCTTGAAAGAAAAAGGAAACTCACGACTTTATCAAAAAGCCAGATGGCCTTGAAGTATTACCCCTGTCGTGCTCTTCAGCCCTACGTGACATCCAAGAGGTTGTTGTTAAACCCTTGGCTGTTGGTGCAATATCAGCATGTAGAGCCATGACTGGCTGCTGCGACGGAGACATCCACTTTGACCAATAGATCGATCTGTAACATGACGGTTTGCAGGTATTTGATCAAGTAATTCGGCCAGTCCTGGGGACGATTGATAGACTGAAGGATTCGAGGCGCAGCAGATGACCCTTGTCGTCAGTCACACGATGACTCGTATCCTGCTGGACTTATCTCTTTTCAAGCTTGATGGACAATGAACTCAACAATCTGGCCAATTACATGAAATGTGATACTGATTCTCAAAGAACACATATCCACTTCAGAAGAGCAGAGTTCTCCTGCATCTTGCTCCAGGCCACATGCTCTGGAGCTGTCAGGTGGAGCATCAAGACTAAAGTAGCGGCCTGCATACGCTAGACCAAGAATGATAGGCCATTAAGAAGCTTTTTTGTCACTAGAATTAGCTTATCTGACTTCTACAAGCGAGTCTTTGGGCTCATTGTATTCAGCATTATGATCCTTCGTGTCATCTCATCCCCAGACCCGAAGCTGTGCCTCTCCTTAGCTTGCGTCAGCACAGCCATTTCGTTTAGGCATCCAAACCATTTAGACAAGCGCCACGTTTCGGAATAGGTAAGGTGACAGGCTAGACAGGCTATATACCCGAGCTTTTTTCATTTCTCGTGTTCAGTCTCACCCTCTATTTTAACCTTATTTTCTTCAGTACCACATAAATCCAACCATCATATCAACACAACCGCTCAGATCACAAGACGTAAGCATTTTGGGACTATTTCATGATTCTTGCTAACATATCATTCTAGTCAACATGAAGCCCAAAGTTCTTCTCACGGCTGGTCTCGCTGCAGTAGCCATAGCCGACCAATGGCCGATGGCCAAGGAGAAATGCGGTCGTCTTGGACCCATGGAATGGGATCCCAATGATCTTCCTCCCGATTTTAATGTCATGAACATTCGAATGTGCGCCGATCATCCTATGGGAGCTGGAAACTACTGGGGATGGGGCGAATATCTTCCTGACTGGTTTCCTCGCAACCCTTTTGCTGATATGGAGATCAATTGGCTTTGGTGGCCTTAGATTGGGATGTAATAAAGTGACATTGAATAGGTATCTGAGAGATAAGAATTTGATTATGAGTAGAAGCGCCAATCTCAGTGAATATTACTTGTGCACATCTCAATCAAAGGGGTTTTGTATCGTGACGAGGCTTTTCTTCTTTGTATTTCCCAGGACCTGACTCCTAGATGAGACTGAACTATTTGTATTATAGACTACAGACACAAAAGAGCTCCGCAAGCTCAGTGTTTGAAATCAACATCTAAATGTTTGAGATTCCTGCAAGGCTTTGATTAGTATCCAGTCGTAAGTTCCCTTTTAACAGCATCCTCCAGAGTCTCCAGGTCTTCATCCTTGAGTCCAATCCTCTCGTTATCCGTCTTTTCATAAAGTGTGCCCCCCTCAGACCAAATTCGTCGAAGAGTGTAAGAAACCGCCTTGGGATTTCCAGCTGCCCACCCCTTCTTCTCTGCCTCCCTCAACTCGTCCAGAGTGTAGCTTGAAACCTCCCAAGGTTCACCTCCAGTCTGCTTCTCAAGCTCCTTGAGAATCTGCTTAGAGTTAACGACAAAAGATTGGACGATTAGAGCGCGGTTGAAAGACTCTGCGGGATGATGAAGAGCAGCGACTACAGCCTTTCCAACACTATCGAATATTAGTCACATCTCTAGAAAGACTGGAAGACTGATAACAATCAAACTTACTCAGGCATAGTTGTGAAGCCAATCTTGCCCTCCCCATTATCAATCAAAACTGCCTTCTTATTCTTATGATCAAATCCTCCAGCCTCAATAACATCGGGCGACAGGGTAAAGTACATATCGATATACGGCCCAGTGACGACAAAAGTATACTTTAGACCATTGGAGTTCTCGCGGATGTACTTTCGAACCTTGAGCTTCAGCTGATGAGGCTTCTCGTTGGCGCTCTGAGGGCCGTATTCGATATCCGTGCCGTATTCTGAAGGGAAAAACCACTTCACTGAACCAGACTCAGCTGCGAGTTTGAAGAGCTCAATCTGTGTCTCGATGACATTGCGTCCCACTGCACTTATGACAGTATCGACGCCCTGGTAAGCCTTCTGTACGTCTTCAGGATTATTCACATCTCCCGTGATGATCTTGACGTCCTTTGACTTGAGCTCTTTGATCAATTCTGGTTTTCTGGTAACTGTGTCTTCCGAGGTGAAGATGGCCACATGATCGAATGCTGGTTGCGCATTGGCGATAGCATTCGTGATATATCGCCCGATGTTGCCGGTAGCACCGAAGATGAGAATGCTCTTGGGTTGAAAGTCCGCCATTTTGATGATTTTGGTGAAGGTAATGGCTTTCAATACTCGCTGGTCGAGGCTGCGTTTATAGATAGGTTGAAGTTGGATTTGTAAGCTATGATCCGGTATGGAATTTATAAGCTGTAGGCTATTAGGGTTCTTGACTTTGTCTAGATTGGAAAGTGTATGATCATCGGAAGGGGAACTAATGTCAAAGTGCGCCCTTTGTTATCACGCCCTACATGAAGAAGTTGATAATGCTCAGGCATCTCAGCTCATAGCGGGCCGAGGCGGGGTTGAGCACGATATATTGCTATAAATTGCCTAATGTGGTTGGTAGACCAAGTTTGTCAGCCTCGATAGTTGAGTCACTTCAATTGAACCAACTATCGTGAGAATTGCAATACCCCCTATATACATGTCATGGATGAATTCTTTGAACTTCACCTAAACCTTTGTTATTGGGTGACCTCTGATGTTAGGGGAGTCAAATGACTGGCTACGCTATTGGCTGTTTGGTCTAATTTACACCATTTGCGTGAATTTATGATTGAAGTTTAAAGGTTATGGAAAGACTCAGATGAAGTTCTAATTTATCGTGAGAAAGTCTCATCTTAATAGTCGTACCATTTAGCAAGATGTCTTCCTCGAATCAGTGTAAAATATGAGTAGAGTTTATCCTGGTTCAATCACGCACAGTGAATAGTATGTTTCCGAAATGAACATGATAAGTCAAAGAGATTCCAGTTTCACCAAGTATAGACAAACAGTTTCACTTGACAGAGTAAAAGTGTCAAAGAGAACCGTTAAGTGCCTGTGATTAACTTCTCCTATTGCCAAGAATATCTCAAAATAGCTTTTCTAAGGTAAGCCTATTTCCAGTAAGCTTTATGTCTTAGGTAACTCTGCAGATTGCTATACAGCGATGCCTCGTGGTTCTCAAAGAACAAGCTTCCCATATTAAAGTTACCATTCAATAATGTGAAGTCTACCTGAACCAAAAAAAAATTAAAGTATCTATAAAAGAAATCTTCCTTCTGATTATTTCTTTCTAAAATCATCCATTCTCACCAACTCATTTATTCTCGAGACACTCTCGCCCTTAAACACTCACAATATTCCCACACTCTCCAAGTAGTCTTTACACGAAGTCCTACGAAAACACTAATTTCTAAAAGAAACCCCGAATAGTTTCACATTCAAGATGGTAGCTACAGAAGAAAGAGCCAGATTCTCTCGAGCCCAGCTTTACAAGGATATCGAACTCGCCCTTCACAACCTCCTCGTGAAGAAGAGGGATGCCGCCTCTCTGCCTCACTTATCGCCCGCTCAACACTACTACGCTGCCTTCAGTCGGCCGCCCAACTGTAGCTGGGACGACGATAGCGATCAATATGCGTATGAAGAGTACAGCTGCAAACCACAGTGTCCTATCCTCGGCAGAAACATGACGTTCAAGATCTGCCAACGCGACCATCCCGACGGTGAGGCGTGTGCAGATAGGGTTTGTTTTATTCCCAACGCCAGCGCGAGGAAGTATATGATGGGTTTCATGGCAAATGGCCCAAGACAAAGTCAGTCTCTCCATAGGCTGAGACCCATGGCTTACAGTCTGGTGAAGAAGTACGACAGCCACATCCCCTCAAAGGACATTAAGACCTTCTCGAGAATAGTGCTTGAGATATTCTCTGATCTCTGTTACGCGGATGACCAGACTTGGGATCCTGAGGTTCACGGAGTCTTAGATTGGAAGCATCGGCCTGTTGAGAAGTGCGTTAACGACTTCATGTTCGAGATCCATGGGGTTAAGTGGAAGAGAGATATGCAGGAGTTCTTATAGGAGCGGGTGGAGATATTTTACCACTTCTTAGTAATGTATCTTCGCCTTCCTGGGAAACACTATGTTTTGGACCCGGGAATGGTCTGGGATATGAGGTTCTTTGTCATTTTCACTTGCACTGTCAGTCATAGCAGGTGGCTCACAGACAGGCAACGGCTGCTTCAATGGCGCAATAAGAGTTATATCTGTTTAAAATTCTTCAATAATACCCAACACCTTACAATGAATGACCCTCGACCCTCAAAACTGTCCTCAAATGAGCGAACGCCAACTTCTCTCCCTTATGACAAGCCAGAAGATTCGCCGTCTTGAGAACGTTCTTGATCTGTCTACCATTTAGTTCTAGACCAGCCAGAGCTTTGATCTCTTCCTCCTTAATCTCATGCGCAGAGTCTCCCTCCATCTTCGCATCCAGACTGACGGCGCGGCTCAAGAAACCTCGCCAAACAGACTCTCGGGCGGTGTTGTCGAGGGGAGGATACTCGAGCGACATGTGAATTCGGCTTTGGAAGGCCTGATCCATGTCCTTGACGCGATTGGTGGTGAGGAAGAGGATACCTTCGTAGTATTCGAGCATGCGAAGGAAGATTGAAACAATGCGATTGCGTTCGATGTCATGTGCTGAGCGAGCCTCGAGGAAGACATCGCACTCGTCGAGAAGGAGGACAGCGTTCCAGTTGGCCACCATTTCGAGAATGCGTTGAAGGTTCTCCTCAATGTCATAGGCATCGCTGCCGAGATCACCAGCGCTCATGATGTACAGTGGAACCTTCATCTCCTCAGCCACCGACTCCGCAGTCAGTGTCTTACCAATACCAGGACCACCTGACAAGAGCATGATGATACCCTTACCCTTTCCAGAGATGATATCATCAAAGACGTTCTTGAACTTGACCTGGCTCTGGGCGAAAGCGAGAATCAGTTCCTTTTGATCGGCAGGAAGAACAAGCGAGTCAAAGGCCTTTTCGTTGAACTTGACCTCTGTAACATCATCAATGAAGAACTCCATCCATCGCTTGTTCTTGAGGGAGTAACCGCGGACCATAGGACCCGTCATGATGAGCTGCTCTTCACTGAGAGGAGCGCGCTGGTCATCATCAAAGTCAGGCTTCTTGGCGCCCGAGTCGCTGTAACAGTCACTGTAACAATCGTCATTGTCATCATTGCCAGCATCACTATCCCGATCACTGTTGGCGACAGGGCCTTCACCGGTCAGGTAGTTAAGCCAAACGGTATGGTCAGGGTTCTGCTTCTCCCAGTTCGCTCCATCGATGACAATGCGCGAGTTGACAGTCTCTTTACGAGACTTGGTAGCATTGACCCACCAGATGGCAGTACCACTGTATGCCTTGTAGTGATAGCCCGCAAGGCTCTCAAACTTGCGCCCACGCTCGAGAAGCATCTTGCGTGCCGCATCGTGATTGGGGTGGTACTCTAGAGGATAGCATGAGAGGCTGGAGAAGGGAGCAGTGCCGGGGAAGTCATTGATCTGCATGGTGATGTCGCACCATCCCATGCTTCTTCCATCCCAATCAATACCCTTGCAGTTCATCATGTAGGCAAGGCCACCACATTGTGTCTTTGCGAGGTATCCCGAGTCGAAGCGAACAGCAACGGGTCTTCCCTTAACGGAACCCCAAACTGTACAGCCAGGAGGGAAAAGAGTCCAAACATGCTCAAAGGCAACAGCGCGGTTCTTGAAGTAATCCTCTCGTAGCTGGATAATCTCGCCCAGCTCATCTCTCATGATCTTATGCAATAGCGATACATGCTCGCGGGTGATTTGATCATACTTGTGATCATCCTTCGCAGCAGTGAATTGACCCCATCGATGAACAAAACACTCGAAAGGAGCATGGAACTTGAGGCGTGAAACATCAGTGACGATACCGGGATAGTCCTCAAAGACCTTTCCGAGAACACGCTTGAGGTAAGGAGATTGAATAACAAGGGAGTCAATGTCGAGAGGCTTGTTAGAGTCAGCCTCTTTGGGCTTTCGCTTGCGGATGATGACGGCGTATTTTTGGGTCTCCTCATTTTCTGCTGCTTCCTCAAGATCATCAGGGTACTTGTCTGTCCATGATCGGTCTCCGTTCTTATCGAACTTTGCGTATAGATCTTTGCTTTCTGTGAGGAGACCGACCATGACCTTTTCCTTCTTCTCTTCATCCTCTTTTGGTGTTTCTTCTGTCTTGGCATCTTCTGTTTTGGAGTCTTCTGTCTTTTGTTCTGTCTTGGTTTGTGTAGTCTCCTCTTTGGGTTCTGTATCTGCAGGTGTCAGGATGACGGTGGACTCGTCACCACTGCTCTTGGTTGAGTCCATGGTGTCGGTAGTCATGATGGATGTATTGGTGTTATGGGGTATTATGTGAGGGGGGAAGGTTATGAGGGAGGGAGGGATGGCGGTTGCAATAGAGATTGAAGAATTAGAATGAAGAAGTGTGAATTAGTTTGAGATGATAACTTTTACTTCAGCTTATATCTTTCTCTTTATACAACACCGATGCAGCCTCAGATAAGGCCTCCATCTGTAGGCATGACGGCATATTACTCACACGGCATTGCCCAGACCCGCAAAAAGGAATGCCAAGTCGAGCTGTGAATAACTACCCCAGCTAAAATCGATAGTGAATGCAGGGTATCATCCCTTCGTGGTTGTCTGATAGGCTGGATGATTTCATCGGCGACTATTTGCAGCAATTGCTGACCGTGCTGATCGCAGCACAGCCCATCAATGGATCTAGATCCAGGCACCGGCCCATAAGGCTTAGGCTGCTTGTAGGCATCCAACACTGCCCCAGAACTGGAAAAACAATTGTAACTGGTATAGCTAGTTTTTGTCGAACCAAAGTTCCATCTGAAGGAAGCTGAGCCTGGGATTGGATGGCCAAAAGAGTCATCAGATTTGTTGTTTGAGGATGGCCCAGGATCTGCAGAGACACGAATGTTGAGCGACATGAACCTCACATCATCACAGGCAGCAAAGCTACACCAACGAATAATCAGAGATATCGTCAAAAAAGACTTTTCTGTACTGCCGTGAAAGAGGAATTACAAATTTCCACCATCGAGGATGCTCGCAGCAGCTTCTTTGATAGCAGCCTGTGCCAAGATAAACAGACTTGGTCCAACACTAATCCTCGCAACACCAATCTCACCCAATGCCTTAGTTGACAGCGCATCCTTGGTCCTATGCGCCAGCTTGACCGCAACCCTTCCATCAAGCTCTTTCACCAAGGTCTCAACCCATGCTTCTCGTAGTCCCCGTCCTGATCCACCCCAGTAAAACACTGTTGTAGCACCAGCTTCAAGGTACGCCTTTCCGCGTTTGATAGCTTCTTCCATCGCTTCAGCTTCTGAGAGGCCTGTGTCGACATGGAAGGTGTCGCATCGTGCATTGACGACGAAATCGGGACAGCCTGCGTCAGAGGCAGCTTTGAGAGCCGTCTTAAGACGCTGAACTTGTTCGTCGATGGGGTAGAATTCGAATGTTTCAGAGCTCACGTCCTCGATGTTGGCGCCGACAACACCAAGCTCAACGGCTCGCTTGACAGTAGACTCAATCTGAGACCCATATCCGTCTTGTAAATCGGCAGACAACGGAATACCAGCCGCTTTGGCGAGCGGTGCAACCTTGCCAATCGCTTCCATGTTCTGCTCTAGGGTGAGCTCCTCATCCTGGATACCGTATGTAGCTGCAACTGCCCAAGACGCTGTCGCTAGAGCCTTGACTGGCTTGGAAGTCCCATGGTTGAGGGATGTGACAGTTTGGAACGAAGCGACGTCCCAGATATTCGGGAAGACAACTGGCGATGAAGGCTTGTGGAGAGCCTTGAGCTGTTTGGCGAGGTCGTTGGACATGGTCGGTCAATGTTGATGATGTATACGATGTTGGTAGTTCTTTGTTTATGCCTCACTTACAATATTTCTCACGATCTTTATATGCCAAGACGGAGGAGTCATACTTACATGTCAATACTTTAGTGTTGCTTTTGATGTGAAGGGCGCGGGGGACGGCGTAATTCGGCATAAGACGGGTTAGGTGAGTTATACCGACCACGTCAACGAGGCTTTCCAACATCAATAGTTGCATTTTGTGGCCTCGTTCTATGATCCTCACCAGATTCAAGAATCTTCATAGACCCCAACATGGCCACTTTCACTTCACACAGCGCAGTTGATCTTCAAGCTCTCCCGTCAATATGGACAAGGGTACCTCGCTAGACCTTCCGCTTGGGAATCGCTTGTGGGGATGTCCCATAGCGATTCAATGCTAGAGGACGGCTCAGCAGTGTCACAATATTTCTGAATCGTGTCACCACTTTGTGACTGAATCATCTTCAGTGCTCTCTCTCACTCAATACTGCATCACTCAACATCGTGAAGATGCCTCTCCAGCTGCGCCCTGCTGTCCCAGAGGACATCCCCGAGATGTGCCAGGTCTACTACTCAGCTTTTGGTGACACCTATATCGGAAGCCGTGTCTTCACGTCCGACATCGATGCCTCAAATCGCTTCTTTCAGAAGGCCTTTATGGATGATATTGCAGATCCTTTGTGTGAATTACTCGTTGTTACGCACAAATCCTCCCCAGGCTCAAAAGACGAAAAAGTAGTCTCGCTAGCAAAATGGGCCCTCCCCGGTGCCTCAATTCAAGATCCTCCACCAGCCGAAGCATGGCCAGCAAATGGTGATCTCGCAGTCGAGTTCTTTGGCGCTATGACAAGAGGCCATCGCAAGTTAATAGGCGATAGACCTCATTATTACCTTGAGCTCATCTGCACGCACGAGACTTGGCAAGGCAAAGGCGCGGGCACTCTACTTCTCCGCTGGGGCATTGAGCGTGCTGACACAGATGCTCTCCCATGCTTTCTTGAGGCTACACCCAAAGGAAAACTCGTGTACGAGAAGCTCGGATTCAGGATAAAAGCTGAGGAGGAGTTTAAGTGGTCGTTCGGAACGTTTGTGGAGACTTACATGGAGCGTGATGCAAAGATCGAGAAACGGACAATGACGCGGCCGAAATCCAAGGAATTCGCGTAGATCTTTGTGTCACTGAATGGAGATTTGCGCGGGTTACGAACACTGACTGGGCTGCTTTTCTGTCTCCCGCGCTGGTGGATGGGCTCCTTGCATCTTTAACTCCAACTGCGAAATGATACACAATGTGCACCTGCGAATGGATACATTATGCCTGCGGGCACGAAGAAAAAGCCCGATATATCGACTGCACGACGAGAAAAGAAATCGCCAACAGCTCAGAATGCTCATGCGGGAGTGTTGACTTTACCGTTATTCGATCGCTACGGCCCTGCGGAAAGGCCGGATGTGCATATAAAGAATGCATGATGAGAGGATGGATTTGTTGCAGATGTGGAAAGGGACCTAATGAGGGTCATGTTCGCAAGCAGGATGTCAAGCCGTGGCGATGGGATTACTTTGAGTGTGGGCATGATTTCTGTAAGGACTGCAGACCATGGAGGGGAGAACGACAAAATGGACATCATGGGGGTCATTCGAGAAGAGGATCGAAGGAGATGATTCGAAAGGGACTGCATGTTATCACTGGAAGGACAGAGAGAGTTTGACGATATTACGACGTCTACGGAGAATGGCCTGAGGGAAAGCTCTAGAGCAGAATCTGCATATTGAGTTTGCAAATGATACCATCCAAAGGGAGGAAAGAAAACTCAGGATCTTGACCCTAAGTGATAAAAATATTTAGATAAGTCTAGTCTAAATTTAGGGGAATTTTTACCAAGTTTATTTGACGCCCTGTATTAAGGTTCGGTGTTTTCTTGCTCCCTGAGGCCATCGAAGCTATCACGGATGTTTAAACTCGGCCGAGAGACCGATGGACCTGACGATCATCCCCGTTAATGGCTGCAAGAAAACCCACGAAAATTCTCCAACAGAAATGCCAAGAAACACGGAATCTCCGGACTTTTTCTGCCTCGGCCTTGTGGGATCGTGGCGTCTACGTGGCTATGACATCTTATCATGACGTCGATCCTTCGCTGGTCTCTCTCTTTTTTTAGTTACCAAAAAAAAAATCTAGAAGATCTTGGTAACTGTGCACAAGACACTTGCAGCCAATTCGGTCACCAAATGGGAATAGATCAATGCTTCTCAGGCATTTGCAGGTTTTTTGTCGCGTGACTTGCCCCTTGTTTGATGATGCCGAGGATGATGCTATGAAACCTCTTTTTACTACTTTTTATTTATTTATGTTGTTTGCTTCCCCCCTTTTTTTTCCATTGTCGAAATTGCTGGCTCTTTCAGCGAATAGCTTGGTCATTTTCTTGCATGTGAAAGAAGTGCTGTACCCTTGTCATAGCGTCCCGTCCGTGTAAACGTCACCAAAGAGATACTGCAGTGTACAGCCACAATTCGATTTATTTGCGTTGTACGAGCAATCCAATCGCCGACGGACTTTCGCAGCCTTTTCTCTTTCTAAGAACAAACTTTCTATTCCTGTTGAATTTACTTAACGATTATTATTTCTTGATTCTCTTCATCCTTGATTGATTCACAACACGCGACACTTCATTCCTTTCTGCGCGACGTCGCATCAACCTCATCATGAGCGTCTCCAAAATGTCCTACCTCTCACGCCTAAGCCCGATTCCCGCATTTCCTGAATACACAGGGCCCTACAAGGTCGGCACCGTCGATGTCGAGATTCCTATCTCCGAACTTGAAGCGCCCAGCGCTGCCCCCGAGGGCGTCGATAACATCCACACCGTCCAGTATCGCATGTTCTACCCAGCTGTTCCCGAATCGCACGAGAAGCACATCAGCTGGTTGCCCAATCCTCAGCGACAGCATCTAGTCGCATACACAAAGTTCCTTGGTATTGGACCTATGCTGGCAGAATTCCTTTCGTAAGTGCGCCGAATCTGAATCGTTCCTATAATTTGCGCTGACAACCTGAAGATTCCTGCCCCGACATCTTCACTATACTACGATCCCAGCCCACAAGAATGCGAAACTCCTTGAATCGTCAACCGAGAACAAGCGATGGCCGACCATGATCTTTTCCCACGGTCTGGGAGGATGCCGAAACTCCTACTCTTACATCGCCGGCTCCCTTGCCTCTCACGGTATCGTCGTCATCTGCCCTGAGCATCGCGATGGCAGCGCTGTCGCAAGCTTCATTCGAGTTCCCGAGAAGCAAAACGGAACCATCACCTCTAACGGCCGAATCCACGTTCCCTACGAGAAGATTTCCCACGATGTCAGCCCCGAAGTCTACCAAGCCCGCGAAGCCCAACTCCGAATTCGATGCTGGGAGCTCGGTATGATCCATCAAGCCATGCTCGCTGTTGACAATGGCACACGATTGACCAACTTGAACCGTTCGACCCCAAGCCTCGATCAATTCATCGGTCGATGCAATATCCACGAGCCTGGCAGCATCATCTTCGCTGGCCACAGCTTCGGTGCTGCTACTATGACACAATTCCTCAAGAGCACATATTACGCTGATGTTCCAGAGGTGGCTGCTATGGAAAAGCCCATCTTTGTCCCTACTGAGGGCAGCGATATTCGAAAGCAGGTATCTGAGAAGACCCTCGTCATGCTGCTCGACATGTGGTGCATGCCCTTGATGGCCCCCAACTCGGCGCCTCTGTTCAACCTGCCGCTACCTGCATACGCCGACAAGGCCAGCGCTCCTGGTGGAAAGGCTATTCTGGCAGTTGAATCGGAGCACTTTTTCAAGTGGACTGACCATCTTCACATGAAGGCTCGTGTTTTGAGCCCCGATCCTACTGTCAAGGTCGTCACACCTCAACTATTCGAGCGGCCTAGTGGCTACAAGATGTCAGAGCCAAACTTCTTCTACGTTGTCAACTCTGCGCATCTTAACCAGTCCGACTTTGGAATCCTGTTTCCGTGGTTGACGCAGAAGATCTTCAAGGCCGAGCAGCCTGAGCGAGCGCTCCGTCTTAACCTCCGCGCTCAGCTCCAGATGCTTCGCGAGAACAACGTACCTGTTGGTCGCACATTCGCAGGCGACCTCGTTGACGGCACTTCGTTCGATAAGCTCGACAAGTTTAACGAAGCCAACGGCGATCCCTGCAAAGACGGCATCAACAGTGACCAAGCCATCTTTGACAAGAGCGGCAACAACCCTGTCGAGTTCTGGCGATGGATCGACATCATTGGTCTTGGCGACGCTGGCGGCAAAAAGACGACTGAGAAGAAGGTCGAGGAGGGTGAGGAGGAGATGAAGGGCGAACTTGACCCTAGTGAGGAGTTGCCTGGAGCACCACCTTCTATGACCGGAGCTGTCAGCGCTGCTGCAGCGTAAAAGGATAACAAAAATGATTATGAAAGCGATTTGACCTTTGGATGGGATTACTTGGAGATACCTCTTTTGGCGCAAGGTCGGGAAAGGCATATTGGGTTTGTAAGGATATTGGATGCGAATACCAGCTAGACTCTTTTGTAAAGTACGAATACATCGTGATTCACTCTTGACCTGCGTATCCCATCTCAATGACTAGAGTTGACCCATCATTCTGCCATATTCCTCCGACGCCACCAAACACACACTTTGTCGACACGGGATTCCACATTCGTCCTGTTATCTCACCACTTGCAACGGTGACATCCCCTCTCGGCGCACACGCAACGGTTCGGCATGTTCCTTCAGTCGCGGATAGGCATTGACCAGCTGGGATGCTTATGCGCTGTTCTGCATCGGTGAAGTTCGACCAAGCGGCTATGGCGACTGGGCAAGCGAGTCGATCGGGACCGGGTTCCTGGTCATGGTTAGTGACGTCGAGTGTCTGAGATTGGAGACCTTGCCGTAGTGCAGACAAGTGTCTCGGGTGTGTCGTCAGATGGAGGTTTGAGATACTGGAGCGGATCGAGGCCGGTTTTGTTGAGGAAGGAAGACCATGGGAATTTATCTATGAAGGATGTTGGTTCATCATGACGTCTCTTCAAAATTTCTTTTCCCTGCGATAAAGATGCTAGCAAGATAATAACCGTCTTGGTGAACATTGTGAGCAATGCCGCTTGCGGGTGGTAATGCTATGTCTCAGGCTAACATCAGCGATGGAACAAGCAACGAGATTTTTTCAAGCGTTCCTTACTGATTGATTAGGAAGTTTTCGAATATCAGTTTACTTGATAGACTGTTTGAAGGGTCGCAATTGCAGCTTCTAGAAAGCTTCAAGCCAAGTGATCACTTTGATGGCGACTCCTACTTCTTATACTTCCACGCAAATGCAATTCTTATGTCATTTACTTGGCTAGATCTCGGTAACTATAGAAACACTGCCTCTTCGCTTATCTTTCGCCAAATGAAGCATGGCAGACCTCGCACATGAGGTCGTGATGTGCGTGGTTCCGGATGCGGAGGTGAGACTGACGGGCCGTGATTCTTGTGTTCTCGATCCGGTGACGGGCAGACTACTTGAGACACAAGGATACAAATGGATCTGGAGGGATCAATTACTGGTTCCAAGCGAGCCTTCTCATAACCGCATGGTAGTATACTAGAGCTTCCTGGTGCTTGAAGGAATGTAAAGCTGATGCCTGGTTAAGTCGCACATATGTACGGAGTAGATAGTAGAACGAAGACTGCTAGCTCACCACTAGAAGCGCTTCTTATATTCTAGAAACCTAGGTAACTACCTTAAGGTCATAAACTTCCATTTAGTCACTGCCGCTTCTTTGGTGCCCAGTCGCTTCTTTTTTCGTACTTGCACCAATTGATGTCATAGAAGTGAGACAGAGGGGTCTCTGTAACCAAGCACCTGCACATCCGCCGGGCCGATAATGTTGCTGAAGGAGAGAAAAGCCAGCTCAATCAGTACCTCTGACTACCAAATAATTACCTCCCAACTGGCCTATCGATCATTGAGTCTCAAGCCTCCCGCTATGTCCCACTTGCGCCCTCTACTCCCCGCTACGTCCGCTGGGAGTTCTGGTCAAGGCGGAGGCGCGCCCGGCCCCAGAGCACCCTTGGCTCCCAAGAGGAAGAACGTCGACGCCGCTTGTCTTGCCTGCAAGAAACGCAAAGTGAGGGTAAGCATATACAATGTCGAGCGGGTGAACCAATCGGTCTGATTCACCAACAGTGCGATGGCCAAGAGCCACGATGCGCCGTCTGTGTCAAACGCGGCCTTCTATGCGAATACTCCCCCACCGAGAACCAGAGTAGCAAAGTCATCAAGCGCAAATTAACAGACATAGAAGAGCGTCTCCAGGCTCATGAAGAGCTCTACAGCATCATGCAAAGCAAGTCTGAAGAGGAGTGTCTATCGATCATTCGTCGAATCAAAAGTGTCCAGGACGTTCGGACTGTTCTCCGACACCTCCAGGATGGTGATTTGCTGCTTCAAATTGCCCATGTTCCCCAGACATGGCATCAATATAGCTTCCCATTCAGCCCTGAAATGCCCCATTTCTTGCGCGGCGAAAATAATCCTTACTTAGAATATCGTATCTATGAGATGGTCAATGAGGATGCGGCGGCGGGTAATTCGAATGCTGGGTTGAATGCGATGAGAGTGGGCTTTGAAGCCCAATACAGGGCGCCATACCATGCTGCTACATTGATAGAGCCGCGTATCGATGCCTTGAGGCCGTCTCAATGGACGCAGGTCCCGGTGAATGATAATTTGCTATGCCAACTTCTCAAGATGTACTTCATGCGCGTATATCCCACTTCTGCCTTTTTCCACAATGACTACTTCTTGGACGACATGGCAGCCGATCGCGAGAAGTTTTGCTCCTCGTATCTCGTCAATGCGATTCTTGCTGAAGCATGCCTAAGTTGAAGTAGCTTCATACGCACTTTGGCTGACAGTCATAGCACGCCTACATTAAAGATCCTCAGCGCACAGAGTTCTGGAATCCACACTCACTGCAGTATCAGTTCCTCGCCGAGACCAGACGGATTCGTGAATTCGAAGATCAGAAGGATTCTCTGACAGCTGTCCAGGCTACACTTGTTCTGGCTCTCACGTATAACATGAACAGCATGGATGAGATAGGATTCTCATACACTATACAGGCCATTGCCATGGCCGACCGGATCAAATTATTTGACGAGTTCCCTCCCAAGATGGAAGACAAGATCAAAGCTTCTCGGACGTTGACAGCTTGGACAACATTCAATTTCCAGGCGTAAGTTGGACGGAATACAAGAGCGAGGCTCCCAGATACTGATGAGTGGCATAGGCTCTTTTCATTCCACTTCTTCCGACCACCTCTGATAAAATCCCCACCCAGATTTCCTTTACTGGATCCCAAGGACAACGCATCATGGTATCCTGAGCTATGGATCATGTACCCTCTGGCTCAAAGCCCTATACCAATCGATCTGGGTCATCATTTCAAGGCAGTTTCAGAGTCTCGTGCTTTGGTCAATAAAATTGGCGCCTGCGCCTTCCCTACATTGCAGAGCCAGAAAAAGTTGACTCTCGACGAGGCCTGGGGGTTTTACTTAATGCTGAAGAAATGGTACGACGAGTTGCCTAGCTCATTGTCGCCTCGCAATGCGGTTCTCCCCTTTCAGTTATTGGTCCAGTATGTCATGTTTCCGTTTTGATATAGCAGCCTATTACTGACGTTTCTTAGTCTACGCTACTTCAATATTGTCATAATCCTACTTGAGCCTTTTGCCACGGCAGAGACTCAAGGCCGCGATCCAGAGAGTACAGAAAATGACACAGCAAATTATGTTGTTGCAGATGCTAAGATGCGCTTCGAGACTGTCTCGAGACTGTACTATCTTAGGCATGGCTTTGAAACTTACGATCCTCTTCTCATCCAGTTTCATATCCTCCTGGGTTTCATGACGCTAAACACACTATCCTCGGGTAAGAAAAAAGCCCCGGAAGCTGTTAAGGCCCTCCAATCTACTCTTGTTCTCGCTTTGAAAGGCCTAAGGGACCAGGCCAACTCGTGCTACTTGGCAGTGACTACATTTAGCCTGCTGAAAGGCACGCTCAAACAAGGAGATCCGCGTCTCTTGCAGAGTGTTGCAGACGTGGAACAGGACAAGGAATCGGTAAAGACTTTGATTGCCAGTCATGTAAAGTCGCAGTATCCTATCAATGTCGTGAGCATGAGTGAGGACCCGGAGCAGAGGCGGGTGGGTGCTCTTATTGCTGCCTACAAAGAGCTGGAATTGGATGATACTATTCCATTTAAAGGATAGTTGGGAATGAAGGGCATCTTGATCATATAACTAGAGTGCCGAGTGGGAAGCCATGTACGACGCTGAGAATATCAGACTTTTTCCATGTAGCATGTCAATATGAGATTATTACACATAAAGGAAGATAAATGACCAGGCAGGGCTGGGGGGACCTTGGGTCGAAACAAATGGATTATCAGATTAGAAAGTCTGAACCACGAGTAAGTCACTGGCAACCTTGCGGCTAGTCCTTTGTCTGGCCCTTCTCCCATATGCTCTTGAATATCAAGCATCTTGGCTCAATGATGTTCGCGTTCCTAACATCCAATGTCTTGACTGGTTCCTTGGCAATGTCAGGTCTCGCACCCCCTCCAAAGACACCGACCTTAGGAATTTGTCCCCACCCTGGACCATTCTCGGGACCTCTGATGAACTCCCCCCAAGCCTTCTGCATCTCCCTGCTCAGCTTATCCTGAAACTCAGTAGCACCTTTCTCGGGAAAGGTCCCAAAGAGAGTTGGAATCTCCGCGGAGTGGTATGCTCCACTGCCCTTGAAGATCTCAGTATTGGCAAAGCTGGCATTGTAGATATATCGCCAAGTCTTGATATCTGCCTCAGCGAAGTCTTCTGCGACGTAGCGAATGGGACACTGCATGCCGATTTCAGTGGCAATTCTAGTGACTTGATCGAATTCGTTGTTGATTCCGGGAGATCCGATGGGGTAGAGGAACTTGAGTAGCGAGACTTGAAAATCACTTATCCCAGGGGCCAAGGTTTTCAGGGCATCTTTTACGGTGATGTCCATGAACTGAGGAATTCTTGCTTCATCTGCTGTTGTGCCCAACATAACAGGAACTCGGGCCATGATTTTTGGCTTGCTCTTTGACTGGATGCGGATGTCGCGGGGATAGTTTGATAGTGTGACTCCGTCATCGCTGAGAGGTGCAAAATCGAGCATACCCCTTTCAATGATATCTTTGAGCTTAGCGGCTGGAATCTCGCGCATACATTCAAGGACCTGATCAAAGTCGCCGTTTTCACAGCCAGCTAGCTTGGTTGCAGTGTTCCAAGAGCCGGTAGGTGTGACGTTTGTTGAAGCAGAGCCCGACTGTAGAATAGCTGCACGGAAAGGGAGGGGATCTGGTGGAGCTGTGAGAAGATCATCAACACTTCCTGCGCCGGCACTTTCACCAAAGATGGTGACTTTCTTGGGGTCTCCTCCAAAGGTAGCGATGTTGTCTTGGACCCAAGACAGGGCTAGCCGTTGGTCAAGGAAGCTGTTATACATCAGTATAAAAGTACAGTTAAAATGTCTGAATATTACTCACCCAAGATTCCACTGTCCCTTTGGCAGATCGTAGGTTTCAGGAAATCCAAAGATGTTGGTCCTGTAATTGACAGTAACGACAACCAGGTCTTCATAGCCCGCCATCTTGGATCCTTCATAATAAGGCAAAGATCCAGACCCATGACTGAAACTTCCTCCATGAATCCAGAACGCAACAGGTTTTGAACCAGCTTTTGCACCTGCAGGGGTATAAATGTTCAAGTTCAAGCAGTCTTCACTAGTCCCTGCTGGTGCCCCAGGGGTAGCAAATATTTTAATCGTTTGATTCCGTCGTTCTTCTGGGTAGTTGAACTTCATAAAACAAGCGGGCTTGTAAACGGTGGCATTGTAGGGAGTATCCCATGGTTTGGCTGGCTTTGGGGCACTGAAGCGAATAGGTTTTTCGGCGAATGGGATACCTAGGAACTGGTTGACCTCGACCTTGGAGTCAGGAATAGATGTTGAAGTTCCGATAATGATGCCGTTGTCGATGGTAGCGGTTGGGGCACTGGCGGTTTTGGATTGTGGAAGCGCGAGTGTCGCTCCCGTACAGAAAGCGACTGTAAGAAGTTTGTAAGAAACCATGACGATGACTGATGATATTCTGATACAATTTAGGTACAGGGAGAGTCAGAGCTATTTATGCAGTAGCCACCTCATATTTGACCATGCCATCACCATCATCCATGCTAAGAAGCCAAGACATAGTGGGCAAGCTTAATTCCGCTGTCAAGATCAGCAAGCTTTAAATACTCAAGCTACGCCTTTCTCAGTGGCCCAGATACCGAAACACCAGAAGATAGCCAATGGCAAGTCCAGACTTATACCGAACCTCTGACTTTGTCGAGGCGATATTGACCTTACTGAACTTGGTAGCATGCTGCGCTCCGTCTGATTGGTCAGATGCTGAGATGTAGTTCTTGGCTTTACAAGGGTATCGCAACATGAGGCCCAAATGAGTTTAGAGCAGAGCCTCAGCTTTACCTCGATATGGGGCTGTAAGTTGGCACAGCCTCTGACGAAATGAAAAGCCGAGGCTGTAAAGAAATTGATCCATTACTATGATGTCAGTATTTCCGCTCTGTACTTTTTGCTAGAGGAGACGGCAGGTTCCGGCCTAAGAAAAGAACGACGTTGAGCTATCTTATCAAAACATCAGGTATTTCCATCAAATCTAACATTATCTTAAGATATCTATATAAGACAAACATTGGTTCTGGTAACCTCCATAAGCTCGTTCAGCCTTGCACGGCGTTGATAATTCTTGGGCATGTCGAAATCAAGCCTTCCAATACGCTCATAGTATCGACCTACCTTTCGCAAGAGAATCCCTTCACATGATACTATAGTATCAGGATCAACAACAGTTGATTCTTCAAAGTCACTCGAAGCAATAAATCCTCGCAGTTTATGAAGTACATGCAGACCGAGAAAAAGCACCTCTAGTATTTCAAAACTTTCAGGCATCAGGCTTTCGGCATCGTATTCAAAGTTCACGGCGTATTCGTCTTCACTGTCTTCCGTGAACCTGACGTGACATGAAAATACAGGTCTTCTCACTGTTGAAACAATATCAGCTTCCGTGAACGGTCTTCCGAGGTTAATGCTCAGCAGTGGAGCTTCAAATCGGAGAGCACGTTTCTCGGGAGTGTCAAGGTTTATGGGGCTGCGGTTGTCTGGGAAGACATTTGGTTTCGTGAACCGTATGAAATAATATGAGACTGGGAGAAACCAAATATTAAGGCACCTCGTAGCCCAAGACCAGGTTGGTACTCCATTGAGTGCATTGTGAGCTTTGTCATACGAGTTCTTCCATAGCAACCCATCAGCAAGGTGTGAATGAAACACTCCAGCAAAGTACTCGCCACCGTGAAGGTCGACAAGTCGGTTAGCCAAGCCTTGAATTGCGATAAGTCGATCAGTCTCGAAGGTGAAATGCATCTTGGAGTATCTGGATATAAGCTCTGTCCATGCTTCCCCCATTGCACTGTCAGGTTCTTGGGCAAGGCTTAAATGCGACTGACTGGCTCTAATGTCTCGAGCGGTGTCCAAGTCACTTCCATATGCAAGACTCTTAGTTGTGCCGTTGCATTGCCATATAAGGGCATGCTTGGACCAATGAAGGATTCGAGGCGACAGAACGGCCTCTTGGAGACACCATCCTCTTGATCTTAGTGGCTCAGCGGACCAATCTTCTGAAGGCGATGGTCTTGGTACTAAGAGAGAGATATACTCTTGCTTGTCATTGCTGAAAGCTAGTGCACAAGTGCTTAGAGGATATCTTCGAGCACTCTGCTCCACATAGAGCCCCTGGCTACTATCAGAAGCAGCGGATGCCGAGATGAGGCATTTAGAATGTAGGTAGTATGCTCCAATGCGCGGTGCTTCTGTATTCCAATCGTCAAGGTACACATCGTCAATATCTGACTGGATGATACATATAGCATCAATCCATAAATACCGAAACTTCAATAGTCGCGTCAGTTGGATAGCATCTTGTATAGTCTTCGGGAGGTCATGTACTGCGATCCCTTCGCGCCGCGCAGCTATTGTTGCTCGTGTAGTTTTGGCGTGTTCATTGGTAGAGCCCCAACAATAGCTGAGCGTGAGATACCTGGGGATGAAGTCTTTGTGCAAATCCTCGGCGGTTACGATGAGTCGGACGATACTGGAATCATTGGTATCAACATCTATGAGGCGCGTTGGTGGTTTTGGTTTGAGATCTTGACGAAACCACCCGACGTCGCAATCTTGGTGCACGCCACGTTTGTTAACACAATCGTGAATCTGATCGCAAAGCTCTTCTTTCAGATCAGGCTCCAAGGCCATTCTGAATGATATTGGAGCAGCCTTCTGTTGTTCCGTTAACCTCCGAGTGCCATGGGTGACGATAATAACACTTACCACGAATTCCGCATCATTTCCAATGACATTGACGGATATCGGAAGGAGAAAAAGAACATCCCCAACGTAGAATCTGCAGACCACAGGCCAGTTACCTGCATCGGAATTATCCCCTCCTCCCGATAGGCCGATGTAACTTTTCGTGGGCAACCATAGGAGACAGGGACCTGTCGGAGGAGACTTTAAGCCCATGGTTGCGAAATTATAGTATACCGTGGCACGAAAACTGCGACAGAGACAGCAACCTCTGGCTGCTGAGGTCTCAAGGGCCTCGAAAGAGTCGTGATGTTGAATAGCAGCCGACGTCTGCCATTCTTCGAGGTTCCATGGTATGTGGCGGCAAGCATGGCATCTCCATTCGACGGATGTCATATGCTCCATGGCTAGCGCCACTTGAGCGATTTCTTTTGTGCTTAGGGGAGACTTGAGACATGGAGTCGTTGATTTAGATAGTGAAAGTCTAGAGTTGTAGCACATGATAGTCAGCAAGCCACCATGCAGCTCGGTATCCTGACCAATCAACTGGGCTAGCGACTTTCGACTAATAACGGAGAACTACGACTACCTCAATAAGTGTAATTTGCAATTCGGGATATTTATCTACTGAAAAGGTATATACACATAGATTTCATAAATGCGCCTCTTGCGGCGGCAGGACATCTTAGTTCTCGTCCATGAGATAAACATCGCGCTCGAGGGCACGAGTGTTGAGCTTGCACTTGTTAGCCTGATGATCTCCTTCATAAAAAATTGACTAAACATACCACCTTGGAAGGAATGTTGTGAAGATCAGTGATACCGATCTGAGCAGCATCCGCAAGAATCTCGGTCTTGAGAATCTGGATAAGCTTCTTGGGGCCTTCAACACCATAGACATTGGAGTACATGAAACTTGAAGAATATCAGCATAAATCTTGAGTGATTAAGGAAATGAAAACTTACGGACGACCAAGGCCAACAGCCTTAACTCCGAGAGCCAACAGCTTGATAACATCAGTTCCATAACGGACACCACTGTCGGCGATAACCTCGGTCTTCTTAAAGATCTCGGGGGCATTGCGTCGAAGTTCATATGCAATCTCGAGAGGAGAGGGGGAGTAGTCAACTTGACGACCACCGTGGTTAGAAAGCCAGATACCATCGGCACCAGCCTCGACAGCACGGAGAGCGTCTTCAGTGGTCGTGATGCCCTTAAGAATGATGGGAAGCTTAGTATGAGACTTGATCTCTTTGAAAAGATCCCAGCTCAATACTGAAGTAGCTCCATTACTGAAGTTTGTTAGTTGATGTTGGTGTTGAAGGAAAGTGAACATACGCGTTGGTGGTGTCATAGCGGGCAGCTCGGTGACGAGTAGATGTAGCAGGGGCATCAATAGTCCAGACAAATGCCTTGACGCCCTGGTCCTCAGCACGCTTCATGGCATCCCAAGTAACAGAGAGGTTAGCGTTGGAGTAGATCTGCTGGAAGATGGTGTTGCCACGCTTCTTACGCTGAGCACCAATCTCCTCAATGCTCTTAGTGGCATAGAGAGCAGCAACATAGAGAATATCTTCATCAGCAGCTGCGTCAACAAAGTTGAGTTCACCGCGGTCAGAGTCACCATAGCCAGCACGAGCGGCAGGTGAGATGAAGATTGGAGCACTGAAGTTGTGACCTAGGATAGTAACACCAAGAGTCTCGTTGAGGCCCTTCACGCTGGCAAGCTGGTGAGGTCGGAGTCTAGCCTTCTCCCAGACCTTGAGGTTGTTGCGGTAAGCCCATTCTCCCGCAGCAGCAGTACGATAGAAAGCATACTGCTGATCAGTCAAGACTTGACGGGCGGCAAAGTCAAAGTCTGGAACGCCACGGATATCTTTGAGGAGAGGACGGCTGCCCTCGGTCCAGTTAGTGCTGGCAAGATAAGTGTTGAGCCCAGTGTCAGGCTCGTTGAGCCATGGCTCATAGGCAGAGACAGCAGCCGCCAGAGAGGTAATGATAGTTGAAGTACGCATAATGAATGGATTTACCTGCCGGAGGTTTTGTAAAGAATGACTGTAGCACCTAGGCTAAGAGAATAAAGAGTGAGGTAATGAGTGGGAAAAGAGCCAACACATCAGAACCAACAGCAAGAGGAACCACGTCTGGATAAATGGAAATACCTGGCCCAAGACACCCGCGGACAAGACTTCGGTTATGGCATGTCCTTAAGTTTGTTGGTGGAGCTTCATGCCCTGAGGTTAATGAAGAGTGGGCACTGCTATGCCTTCTCGGATCTAGCCTGTGACACTCGTGGGGGTTGGTGTCTTGATCAGATTGATAAGATCCATCAAATCAAGGAGAGTAAGAGTAAATATTCGCCGAGGATTCATTGTTGGTCCAGACTTGGCAACTATGGGCATCATTATTATCAAAACTGCGCTAGTTATGTCTCTTCGAGCCCTTTTCTCCGGGTTTACGATCCTTTATGTTCATTTCAACAATCAATACTCGACCCCTGGCTTGCCATAATAGCCGATCCAAACTTTGAAGAGCCTCATTGACTGCATGAATGATGCAATTCACTCTCTCATATCGCCAACATCCCAAACTCCACTATTCATCCCATCTTGACCGCGATGAAGTGGGATGCTGAATAACCCTCATTTTAGCCTCAACTCCACGATCCAACAGTTGTGGAGTTCATCCACTTTGACAACGGCCAAGGGTCTCTAATAGGAAAGCAGAAGCCTCTCCAAGACAAAGTGGATTCCGCCATCTTGAACAAAGACTTGTACTACTTTGATAGAGGGAATGATCGTCGTATCTCGTTTTGACAGACTAGCTTGCAACATGGTAATTTTTCCGTCCCGCAAGGCGAAACTTTAAAAGATTAACCAGGCACAGACTGCCCACTCATAGACGAAGCAGCATGAAGGAGTTACTTCTTTGGGAGTCGTTGATCGAGGTGACATTTTTGGCGCATGAGCCGACCAGCCGGAACCTTTGCGTTTGTTTTTATGAAACTCACTGTTCTAAGATAAGTCTTTGCTTCTTCTGAATCATGAAACACCGGAATCTGCCTGTTATTGATGCTGAATGTTTCATCGCCCTATTGGCGTGATTGAAAATAGCCGGCGGGTAATTCAGCATAGGCATAACAGTAAGCTTGTTCTTAGCCGATATACTCGCCGAGTCTATAAATGCTCTGAGGATCAAGCTATTGCAACCCGCCGATCTGGCGGCTAGCCGAGAAAGTGTTCTACCGCAGAAATTCTCTAGTGACAGTCACTTGCTCTATCAAGATGTTCTCGAATTTTTCATGCGTCGCGTGAACGACGCCAGTGAACATGTTATGGCCTATTTCGAGATATTGAAAACTTAACGACTGCCATTTTACTGTCAAATGCCCTGAGTCTTTATGCGATATAGCACAAATATGTATCACGGTTGGCATCAGCCAAGAGCTACTGCCAGTGGACAAGTGAAAGTCGATACTAAAAGTCAAATTATAACTACCTAGTTCTGAGGATTAAGTTTATTATATGCCAAAGATTATGCTAACTCATGGAGATACATAGAGTCGATACTATCTTGCTCAACCTTCTCACGCCACAATTCGTAATTCCTTAGGAGTTTGTTGTGCTCTTTCTTGAGAGTTTTGGGATTGTTATTTTCAAAGGCCATGCTCCAAATGGCTTGAGCTTCGTCTTTCGCCGTCTTCCTTGCTGAATCAATTCCTTGAAATTTGTCAGCTCGTGATTTCTAACACTGTCATGGAAACTCACCAATATGTTGTGCCAGAACTGGATATAAAGCATATCTATCAAGACCATTACTCGAAGCAATCTCATCGAGCATCAATTCTATCTGCCCTTCTTTCCTCTCCTTCAGGCTATCAATCACCAAAGGGACTTGAGCCCGCGGGAAAATCATTGCTTGTGAGCAACATCCGAAAGGCTCTTTGAAAACTCCAGGGGACGGGGGAAATAATGATGCTTTTCCTGACTGATACATCAGGACTATCAGTCCTGGTACCAGTATGAAGGCTGTTACTGCGAGTGTCTCCATGTCGAGATACTTGCGTGAAGCTCGCCATTGCCGACGTACGAACCACACCGAGGCTGCGATTCCTATATCAATGCCTAGGATGATCAAGAATTCGTTGTTTCCGCCAATCTCCCGACTCGACCACCCTGTTGATCTCTCTTGGTTGAAAAGACGCATGAAGAGCCAGTTGCCAGAGTCGGATATCTCTGATAGTCCCTGTAAAATCTTCGTAAACCATCCCTCAGCAAGAATGATGTCATCTTCAAACATGCCAACGTATAATGCGCCGGTGGCGTAACATCGTTCGAGGGCGTAGGTGTAATCAAAGACACCTTTTTCTTGATATCTTCCGTTTTGTTCGAGGTCGTTCAGGTGCTTCGTTTGTGTATCGTTGACGTCGTAGGTAAAAATGTCGTCGGCCGCATGGTTTAGCCACTGGTGGTTCCAGCCAGGATGTCGCCTTGGATCGGTTTCCGCTATTAGGATAGATATATGAAGGTCATCTCGTTCTTCCTTCGAAAGGCCTTGCACCATACTCCCTATTGTCATCTGTTATCCCAATGAGCTTGAGCATGATCATCCATCTAGGATAGCACTTACAGGGAGGTATTGTGTCTCACGCTTCACAGAGCTCAGTGCTACACAGAGAAGTTTGTTACCATCTCGTGCTTTGCCCAGAGCCGGCCTTTTCAGGTCCGGGTACGAGTCTATTAGCTTCTCAACTTCGGCTTTGCGATGTTCGGAGTAACGCGTCTCGTATGCTCGTGCTTTATCGAAGAAAACACTCCCGGGGTCACGATAGAAATGAGTCTGGCCATACCAAGTCAGACATAATAGCAGAGCGATGCATGTCGTTGCTTTCACGAGTAGACTGAGCATATTGAAGATACTGATTACTCTACAAGTCACGATAGAACATTCCCGGGATGATCGCGACTTGTATCATATTTATGAGCCCCATAAGTTTCGCTCCTTCTCGGTAGTAATTACATGAACAGCGTGCCTGCTCAAGCTGATCAAAGTTTAATACTGAGCAATTACTTAACGTTTCGAACGCCGCGGCCAATGACAAATTTGGAAACTGCCGATTTTCGTATAATCCTACCACGCGAAGGATCTACACTTGTTTCGAAGGATGTTTAGTTTCAAATTCTAACCAATCAGAATATTGCTAGCGTTCAAGGAA